CACCCCATCCAAACACGTAGTTTACCCTGTACACACCATCCACACACGTAGTTTACCCTGTACACACCCACCCATACACGTTGTTTACCCTGTACACACCATCCATACACGTAGTTTACCCTGTGCACACCATCCATACACGTAGTTTACCCTGTACACACCATCCAAAATATCGTAGTTTACATTCCATGTACACACCATCCACACACCATCCATTAGTTTACCCTGTACACCATCCATCCATAGAATTCGTACTTTATCCACCCTGTACACACCATCCATAGACGCACAGTTTACCCTGTACACACCCATCCATACACGTAGTTTACACTGTACACACCATCCATACACGTAGGTTACCCTGTACACACCATCCATACACGTAGTTTAAATTCTGTACACACCATCCATAACGTATAGTTTACCCTGTGCACACCATCCATACACGTAGCTTACTCCTGTGCACACGATCCATACACGTAGTTTACCCTGTACACACCATCCATACACGTAGTTTACACTGCACACACCATCCATACACGTAGTTTAACCTCCTGTACACACCATCCATACACGCAGTGTACCCTGTGCACACCATCCATAGACGTAGTTTAATTCTGTACACACCATCCATACACGTAGTTTAATTCTGTACACACCATCCATACACGCAGTTTACCCTGTACACACCATCCATGATGCACGTAGTTTCACCCTGTACACACCATCCAAACACGTAGTTTACCCCTGTACAAACCATCCATACACGTAGTTTACCCTGTACACACCATCCAAAACACGTAGTTTACCATTCCATGTACCCTCACCATCCATACACGTAGTTTACCCTGTACACACCATTCATACACGTAGTTTACCCTCACCATGTACACACCTGTATCCATACACGTAGTTTAACCCCATGTACACACCATCCATAGACGTACACCATCTTTACCCTGTACACACCATCCATAGACGCACTTTACCCTGTACATAATTTTCATCCATACACGTAGTTTACACTGCACACACCATCCATACACGTAGTTTCATCCTGTACATACCATCCATACACGTAGTTTACCCTGTACACACCATCCATACACGTAGTTTACCCTGTACACACCATCCATACACGTACTTTACCCTGTAGGGGCGGTGGGGTAGCCTAATGGTTAAATCGTTGGATCGTCACGCCGAAGACCCGGGTTCGATTCCCCACATGGGTACAATGTGTGAAGCCCATTTCTGGTGTGCCCGCCGTGATGTTGCTGGAATATTGCTAAAAGCGGCGTAAAACCAAACTCAGCCAGTCAGTCAGTTTACCCCTGTACACACCTATATTCTTTTCGAACACCGTCTATACATCGCTTTTAGTTTACTCTTCGAACACCGTCTATACACGTTTAGTTTACTCCCCAAGCGAACACTGCCCATACACGTTTAGTTTACTCCTGCGAACACTGCCCATACACGTTTAGTTTAACACCCTGTGCACATTGTCTACACACGTATAGTTTACCCTGCCAACACTGTCCATACACGTATAGTTTACCCTGCGAACACTGTCCATACCATATAGTTTACCCTGTGCACATTGTCTACAATAACACGTATAGTTTAATTCCCAAAACTGTCCATACACGTATAGTTTACCCTGCGAACGCACTGTCCATACCATATAGTTTACCCTGTGCACACTGTCTATACACGTATAGTTTTACCCTGCAAACACTGTCCATACACGTATAGTTTACTCCTGCGAACACTGTCCATACACGTATAGTTTACCCTTTGCACACCGTCTATACACGTATAGTTTACCCTGCGAACACTGTCCATACACGGATAGTTTACCCTTTGCACACTGTCTATACACTTAGTTTACCCTGCAGAACACTGTCTATACACGTATAGTTTACCCCTTGCAGGAACACTGTCTATACACGTTTAGTTTACCCCTGCGAACACTGTCCATGCACGTATAGTTTACCTGTGTACACTGTCGTATACACGTTTAGTTTACCCTGCGAACACTGTCCATAAATAATGCATAGTTTACCCTGCGAACACTTCCCATTCTTAAAACGCGAGTGTTGGTAGAATGATCTCGCTTGGCAAGAGGTCTGACCATACTAACCCACACACAACACAACACTGTGTAAATATACGAGGAGTTTATTACACAGCAGTCACTGAACGATATGGTATAATCAGGCAATAATAGGATGGTGTACAATATATACCAAGCAGCAAAAGAAACGTCACTTTGGAATTTTCCTTCGCAGAAACGGATAACTGTAAACTGATAACTGTAAACTGATAACTGTAAACTGATAACTGTAAACTGATAACTGTAAACTCATTTTAATGTTTTGATTGTTTAATTCCTTTTGATAACATCTCCACTTTACCTGAGCAAAGATTGTTTTGCTTCCCAAACATTCCTTCCCAAAATGGAATCCAGGAAATGGTCTCAAAACGCAACCTGATCTCGGAGATGGTGATAATGGTGTTCTCCATGTTTTCATGCAACTCATGCTGCACGTGCTGTCACAAGGACCAGCCTTATAAAATGGACCCCCAAAACCTGGTTAAAACATTCACATTACAACGTCAGCAGGATATCGCGACTCACGACAGCTGAGAGGAACCAGGCTCTAGGAAGACTTGAAGCTGGCCACACTGCACACAAGCCGTTCACTTCCAGGTCAAAGTTCGGACCATCTACAGACTGCAGCAACGTTTCCGGGCCACGAACACCACAAATGATCGTCCCCGTACTGGCAATACACCAAGGGTGACCACAAGACGATAAGATCGCCATGTTGTGCGACAGCATGTACAGAATCCTTCATGCAGGCATCCAAAACAGCACGCCAGACAGTGGGAACACACGGAAGACCAATCAGTTCTGATACAGTACGCCGACGTCTTAACAGCGGGAACCTCCATTGCCGTAGACCTAGACTAAGGCTTTAGTCTCTGAATATATATAATTTTTGATAGTAACAAACCGTGCTTCCATTTATATTGAAAGGCCCACAGGAGGAGACCAGAGATTCAGAGACTAAGAACATCTATTGGGGTTGCACGTGCTTGGGTCATTACCAATTAGAAGTCACATCATACAACCATCAGATAACGCTATATGAGTGAAGGCATATTTATTGGCCTTCCTGTTAAGCCTGTGGTCCCATCTCCATGCTGTCATCACCTCTCATGTAACAGTCAAGGCCCCTACTTGCCTAACATTTAGACGTAACAACTAGTCTCTGAAATGAAATATATTTTACCGAAAAAAATTCATAGTAAAAAAGAAAATATACCACCCATCAAAAAGCTTCTAGACTCACCCTGTTAACAGATTACCCTATTTCAATTAACTTTGACTACTCTTGAATAACAGCCCGAAACTAATGAACTTTTCACATGTGTGGAATAAGGCATAACTCGAAATAATGTTCGTTCGGCATATTCTCGTAGCCTTGATGCCTAAGGATTTTGGAAATCCATAATCTGGTACAATTTTATGTGAAAATGATGAAAATAATGCCGAGGAATTGCCGCTTCCAAACGTAGCCATGAGGCATGCATCAGTGAGCACGTGCATCACAGCCATGTTGCAGCATGGAACCTCAATGCATTCACTCCAGGCCACGGTTTGAAATTGATCTTGCAGTGAGGATAGGGGCCAAATTTCACTTCTCCGCTTCCGCATGGGTCGAGGGGAGAAGCTCGTCCAATGCAAGTCTACATCAAGCCTTGGCACCTTTACAAGGATGGGAAATCACAACGTTATTAGTAGCCAGGCGTCAGTGGTGGTATCCCAGAAGGCCATTTTCCAACCTCTGGACACGCTTTCAACAGACGAATTTCCCTGTCCAGGATCGGCCAAGATCGGGTAGGCCACGAGGACGTCGCAACAGGGATGATCGTTGCGCATCCGGATTGATTTGTCTCAGGAGCCGACGCCTCACAGCCACCTCAGTCAACGATACGTTCAGACACGCCACTGGACGTCAGTGTTTCTGTATCCACGATAAGGCGCCGGTTACGCCGAGGCTGGACTGCGCAAGACGTCCTGTGCCGTTAGGGCCCCCATGTTCCACGTCACCGTCGGCCTGCTGATTGGACTGGGTTAATGGGCATTTGAGATGGGGTGCAGGCAGATGGTCACGTGTTGTCTGCACCCGACGAATCCAGAGTTCAAACTGCACTTCAACGGACGGTACGGAATACCCGTGTACAGACGTCGAGGGAGAACAATTACGTTGACGCTAACCTTGTTGAACGCACGATCATTTTGGAGGTGGGTCCGTTATGGTCTAGGGCGGTATCTCAATGACTGGACGAACTGACGAAGTGGTAGTGGATGGGAACTTGATTGGTCAGAGGTATCGCGATGAGATTCTCGCTCCTGTGGTGTTTCCCTTTCCTGGTGGCCATGCCAGGCCAGGCTGTTCTGGGTAAGATGATAACGCTAGCCCCACAAGAGTCGTAATCGTAACAGCGATGGTTGCAGCAAGAACAGGGTTAATCGTATGGAATGGCCAGCGCTATCACCCGATCTCAACCCCATAGAGCATGTGTGGGACATGCCGGGACGCCGTGTTTACGCCAGAGTTCCTCCCCTGCTAACCTTGACCAGCTTCGAAATGCCTTGTTACAAGAGTGGCAGAACATCCCCCAGAGGCAGCTTGGATACTTGGTAACGTGTGGCATGAGACGTCGGTGCGATGCTTGTGCCAGAGCCAGGAATGGATATACCCATTATTGACTTTTTGAAACACACTTTTTCCCACAGTACATCTATGTTTACGGCTCTTTACAAAAAGTTTTGAGGAATGTACACGTCCTCATTTCATACGGATTAAAACCATAAATGAGGTGATGTTGTGTTTGTTGCTGATTTTGAACACGATTGCTATTTTCCTCCAAGATACTGACGACATCGCCATAACTGAGTCCTAAACTTTTTGATGGGTAGGTATATATAATGAAAAGGGCCCCTGAGATCTTTCTTCATTCTGAAGCTGAGGAAATCTAGGACTCTGCCACATTTTCTAGCCTTGTGTGGGCTTCTCTTGGATATATTTGCTTCAGGGTCTGTACGAGAGACTACCTAACATTTTACTGTTGGGAAACTTGCAGCCTCACAATGTCACTTGGACACTAGATGACCAAGGTGCAAGATCTGTGTGGAACACCAACAAAATTATTTACGAATTTGAACTTATCTGCCAAATTCAAAAGTTTCCATTTGTATAATATGCGAAGAGGATATAGATAACCACCTTTTTTTAAACAAACTGTTCAATGGAAGTGAAAAGGCCAGCATCTGTCTTACGCTTGAAGATGTTCTGGGTATTTCTAGATACAAGATCATCCTCACTAGATTTCATCTTGGATGCCTTAATCACATCACGTAGGTAAACAGATTTAATTCCGAGATGCTGTGCCTTTTAGAATTTGGTTCTTCATGAGAAGGCGACTACCGGGGTCGCATGGTCAGGCTTGGTTGACTTGGTTGGACACATGTCATCGTATCCCAATTGCGTAGATGCTCATGCTGTTGACCACTGGGTTGTCTGGTCCAGACTCGACTTATTTACAGACCGCCGCCATATATGGAATATTACTGAATGCAGTGTAAAACCTAAACTCACCTCAATCACTCACTCTTCATGAGTGCTAGGTCCCTGCCATTTGTTTTACTGTTGAACAATTAGATAAAAAGAGATACTCAAAACACACCAAAGTTTCATACGGTAAGAGTTCCCTCCCGTTCCCCATCCCAAATAATATGTATAAATATTCTAGAATTATAAACGAAGCCTAATGCAACAATTACTAGAGAACACACAAAATGATTAAAAGCCCAAAATTTAAGTTAGGGCTAGGTTTAGGGTTAGGTTTAGGGTTGAGGTTTAGGTTTAGGTTTTAGATTTGGGGTACGGAAGGAACTCTTTCCTTTCACACAATAATCTTATATCAGGAATAAGAAAAAATAACCCTTGTTTTAATTACAATTAAATCCTTAACCGCATTTTACAATGGGCGTATGTGTGGACCCAAATCAGACAATGAAACAATACTTTTACAACATTACATTCAGGGGGAACCTTTCCCCAAGATTTTACTTGATTTGTCTCTTCAAGACTGGAAACTGCACTGCACAAGGCGTCCACTATAGCTTCATGTCACCCAATGTGCTGTTAATTAAGAGCTGACAGATGAAAATGTGAGGCAAGATTCCAGACCACTGGTGAGGATGTATGTCCAGCCAGCCATGGTAGTTAGATATGTTTACTTTGTAATCCGACCCCCAAAGTGAGTTAGTTTTCTTTCAGATGTTAACAGACCCTGAACCTGAGGAAATCTAGACTTGCTTTATTTAGGGCTTTAGCACTGCAGAGAGGGCTTGGCAGAGGGAAATTAATGTGGTTCAGGGACTGTGAGACAGACTACCGTAGACCTTACCGTGGACCTATCCTCACCCCTCGCCATCGGCGTTAGACTAACAACTAGTCTCTGAAATGAACATACATGTATTATACTGAAAAAAGTTCATAGTAAAAAATATATATATAATGAAAAGGAGCCCTGAGACTTTCTTCATTAGCTGAGGAAATCTAGACTTACCACATTTTCTAGACTTGCGTGGTCTTTCTTGGATATATTTGCTTCAGGGTCTGTACGAGAGACTACATCGGCGTGAACGTCTACAGTTTGCCCTACAACACCAAAACTGGCAATACAGGCAATGGAGAACTGTTCTGTTCACAGATGAGAGTCGGTACTGCGTATCAACTGCAGATGGCAGAACAAGAATATGGCGACGACGTGGCCAGCGTTACTCAGACCAATGTGTTATGGAAAGAGACTCATGGGGAGGTGCAAGCATCATGGTATGGGGTGGAATAGGCCTGAACCAGAGAGTGGGTCCCGTGGTGTTCCAGAACCTTGGTCCAGGGAGAGGAGGCGGCATCACAGCGGTGCGCTACATCGACCAAGCTCTCAGACCCCACGTCATACCACATTTCTCACGTCACCGGAACAACATTTTCCAGCATTATAACACCCGGGCCCATACTGCCAGAGCTACACGGGACGTCCTACAGCAGAACGGTGTCAACATTATGCAATGGCCATCCCTTAGTCCTGATTTAAACCCAATTGAACACCTTTGAGATGAAATTCAGAGGAGACTGAATAATGTCGTACCAAGGCCGAACACAGCCGATTTATTGCGCCAGGCCTTTCTCAGAGTGTGGTTCAAGGTGCCAATGGCCTTCATCAATCGATTGGTGCACTCCATGCGTAGACGCTGTGCTGCAGTTATTGTCGCGCATGGTGGTCACACTAGAGACTGAAGTCAAGAGTCTGAATGGACTGCAAACGTTCACGTTATGTCTGGATATTCTGCTGAGTTATTCATTGTTGTGTCAAGATATTGTACAGAAAAATGTTTTTGATCCGCTTATTGTGCCTATTTCTGTAATGATTTGATTACAGTGCCTATTCAATTTTGAATTCGTACTGACGTTGTTTTGGTTGCTGAGTATATTATAACAGCATGTTCACAATACAATCAGCTATCAAAAAACATAAACATCACATGTACATTCGTTACACATACTACATTAATCACGATGCACATCCAAAATTATACAACGTAATGAAATTATTCAATACTCTACACATCACCCCAGTGTGCGGTCGTACAATCTACATTCTATAACAGTCACAAACAGCATAGTATTCACAACGTAATGCAATTGTTCAATACTCTACACATTACGATTGAGGAACGTGGTCGGTTAGTCTGTGTAGTTTAACTTGCGAACACCGTCCATGTACTTAGTTTACCCTGTGCTCGGTGTCCTCACACATAGTTTACCCTGTGCTCACTGTCCTCACACGTAGTTTACCCCGTGCTCACTGTCCTCACACATAGTTTACCCCGTGCTGACTGTCCTCACACATAGTTTACCCTGTGCTCGCTGTCCTCACACATAGTTTACCCTGTGCTCGCTGTCCTCACACATAGTTTACCCCGTGCTCACTGTCCTCACACATAGTTTACCCCCATGCTCACTGTCCTCACACATAGTTTACCCCGTGCTCACACATAGTTTACCCCGTGCTCACTGTCCTCACACATAGTTTACCCCGTGCTCACTGTCCTCACACATAGTTTACTCCATGCTCACTGTCCTCACACAGTTTACCCCGTGCTCACACATAGTTTACCCCGTGCTCGCTGTCCTCACACATAGTTTACCCCGATGCTCACTGTCCTCACACATAGTTTAGCCCGTGCTCACTGTCCTCACACATAGTTTAAGCCATGCTCACTGTCCTCACACATAGTTTACCCCGTGCTCACTGTCCTCACACATAGTTTACCCCATGCTCACTGTCCTCATACATAGTTTACCCCGTGCTCGCTGTCCCCACACACAGTTTACCCCGTGCTCACTGTCCTCACACATAGTTTACCCCGTGCTCACTGTCCTCACACATAGTTTACCCCGTGCTCACTGTCCTCACACATAGTTTACCCCGTGCTCACACATAGTTTACACCCGTGCTCACTGTCCTCACACATAGTTTAGCCTGTGCTCACTGTCCTCACACATAGTTTACCCCGTGCTCACTGTCCTCACACATAGTTTACCCCATGCTCGCTGTCCTCACACATAGTTTACCCCGTGCTCGCTGTCCTCACACATAGTTTACCCCATGCTCACTGTCCTCACACATAGTTTACCCCATGCTCACTGTCCTCACACATAGTTTACCCCGTGCTCGCTATCCTCACACATAGTTTACCCGTGCTTGCTGTCCTCACACACTAGTTTACCCTCACTGTCCTCACACATGCTCACTGTCCTGTTGACATATAGTTACCTCACATACACATAGTTTACCCCGTGCTCACTGTCCTCACACATAGTTTACCCCGTGCTCGCTGTCCTCACACATCACACATAGTTTACCCCATGCTCACTGTCCTCACACATAGTTTACCCCATGCTCACTGTCCTCACACATAGTTTACCCCGTGCTCGCTGTTCTCACACATAGTTTACCCCATGCTCACTGTCCTCACACATAGTTTACCCCGTGCTCGCTGTCCTCACACATAGTTTACCCCGTGCTCACTGTCCTCACAGACAGTTTACCCTGTGCTCACTGTCCTCACACATAGTTTACACCCGTGCTCACTGTCCTCACACATAGTTTACCCCGTGCTCACACATAGTTTACCCTGTGCTCACTGTCCTCACACATAGTTTACCCCGTGCTCGCTGTCCTCACACATAGTTTACCCCGTGCTGACTGTCCTCACACATAGTTTACCCCGTGCTCACACATAGTTTACCCCGTGCTCACTGTCCTCACACACATACTGAGTCAAAAAAGAAACTTCACATTCTTTCTTCAGGGTACTATAAAAGAACAAGAGATGGTAAGATGGTTAAATTGTTATTATTTCATTGCTGAGATCTGTGTGATGTACTCGATACACTGACAGTGCCATAATCAGTTCCATTAGGCTACACCGCCGTTCCAAAACATGGGTATACAGAATGTCAAGTCACAAGAATAAAATGCGAAATTGCTCAGTTCAATATCGTGTATGGCCGCCCCGCGCATTCACCACTGCCAAACACCGTCTCCTCATCGACTGCTTGATGCTTGTGAACACGTGGTTGGGGATTCTGCGGCATTGCTCTTGCAAGGCAGCGCCAAGTTCCTGCAAATTCTGAGGTTGGTTCCTAAGACCACGAAGCCTTCTCCCAAGTGCATCCCAAACGTGCTCTTTTGGATTAAGGTCAGGGGACCTCGATGGCCAGTCCATGCGTTTTGAAGGAAATTTCGTGTCAACATTGCGGTATGCGGCCGAGCATTATCATGCTGGTGCTGTAGACCTGGGCCATGAGCCGCCATGAAAGGAACGAGTTCAGGGGTGAGCACCTGGTCGCGGTAAGCAGCAGCTGTGAGGTTTCCACGGATGACCAGAAGTCGGGAACGGTTGTTCCCACAGAAAGCACTCCACACCATGCAACTTCCGCCCCCGAATCTGTCGACTTCCTGTACACAACATTGGGCATACCATTCACGACGTCGTCTCCAGACTCTATGCCTGCCGTCCGCGAATGTGAGGGTAAACCTGGATTCATCGCTAAAGGCGACTCGATTCCAGTCTCTCTAGGTCCATCGGAGGTGACGTTGGGCCCACAGCAGACGTTGACGTTGATGAAACGGCGTCAATATTGGCCCACGATATGGACGTCGAGAATGAAGATTGGCAGCCCGCAATCGATTTCGAATGGTCTGTGAGGACAGTCGACCTTTAATAATCTCAGCCCTGGTTCGTGTAGCCGGCAGAAATCTGTCACGTAGGTGACGTAGGACGATTTGACGGTCTTCTGCTCGTGACGTCACACGTGGACGACCCGACCTTGGGCTATCAGAAGTGGTGCCAGTTTGTTGTAGACGACCTCGCAAGTCATACACAGTACGACGGCTGCATCCCATTGCTCTTGCGACGTCAATAACTGATCTTCCCGCTTGCAACATGCCAACGGCACGTTCACGTTGCACATTTGACACTCGTGGCATTTCAAGTACCGTTAGAACTGTGGTTTAAAAGTGTTTTTTCAATTCTTGAGGCCAATGCAAACACGTGCATATGAAGAAAACTTCGATGCGAAGATCACGTGATCGACTGCACGTGCAAAACCTGATTTGGCACTAACGTCATTTGCACGACGAATGGATGGGTTTGAGTGGCTTTTGCTAACGTTTTTCTAGAGTCGAAAGATAGGGATCCCATTTCGGATACATAGATGTATGATCAGAGAAAAGTTATTCATTATTTTTTCAAATTACATTTTGTGAAGTTTCCTTTTTGACTCAGTATATAGTTTACCCTGTGCACCCTTTATCGAAACATTTCCAAACAACTATAACTTTATTGTCTGCCGCCACCGTCGGTATTTGATAAAAGTCATCTGTGACACTTAGCGACAATACAAGTTTCAGGTCGTGTGGATTCGAACCATGGACCACCTTATCGGAAGTCACACAGGGATTAACAGACTGTCAAGGTCACCTCACAAATATACAATGACACAAAAATATTTGGTTTTTACAATAATGATTTGAAAACTGTCCCAATGGCACCAAAAGTTTCTGCATTTGCAAGGAGCTACTAGTATTTCACATTTAACTTCAGATTCCTCTATTCAACTTGTCACTAAGGATTACGGGTCCTAAGCCGACATGATAATGACAACTGACTAAACCACACTGATTTCTAACACCTGTACAGACTCACTCACTCACTCACTCGCGGAAACACACTTCCATGATTGAGGCGCCTACAACCCAAATATACACAACCCATACAGGGCCCCGCCCTCCACCCCTCACATTAGAGTATCGATGTCATTTGCGCATGTGCAAATATCTACATGATTCAGTGAGGATTATCAACATTGGTAAACGTCAACACGACTGCATGGACAGACTGAGTATAGCCTATACTTCGTAGAGACCGACACTGGACATAGACCACGCTGTCACCCTAGAGTCACTGTCACACACCCGGACACTGTCACCCCGCGTTCACCGATCTACCCAGCTTTCTGTACACAGGTGGGAGAGTCCCAGCGACAACACCTGGCTCGCGAAGGTGAGTGTCACTAGATGTGTTGACACAGAATCTGTGTACGTGAATGAAGTGTGTGTATGTACATACTTACCACATTACGGGATATGTACATATGTCTTTTGTCAGTATTTTTGCTCCATATAGTCAGGGTTGATCTATATCTTTCTAGGTCTACATTAGTATACTTAGGTATACATACGTCTATAAGTCTCCAGACGTATACATAGGTCTATACAGGTATACATAGGTCTGTAGGTTTCTATACGTACGTATGCACATAGGTCTATACAGGTATACATAGATGTGTAGGTCTCTATACGTACACAAAGGTGTGTAGGTCTCTATACGTACACATAGGTCTGTAGGTCTCTGTACGTACACATAGGTCTGTAGGTCTGTACGTACAAATAGGTCTGTAGGTCTCTATACGTACACATGGGTCTGTAGGTCTCTATACGTACACATGGGTCTGTAGGTCTCTATACATACACATAGGTCTGTATGTCTGTAACAGTATACATAGGTCTGTAGGTCTCTATGCGTACACATAGGTCTGTAGGTCTGTATCGGTATACATAGGTCTGTAGGTCTCTATGCGTACACATAGGTCTGTAGGTGTGTATCGGTATACATAGGTCTGTAGGTCTCTATATGTACACATAGGTCTGTAGGTCTGTGTCGGTATACATATGTCTGTAGGTCTCTATACGTACTCATAGGTCTGTAGGTCTGTATCGGTATACATAGGTCTGTAGGTCTCTATATATACACATAGGTCTGTAGGTGTGTATCGGTATACATAGGTCTGTAGGTCTCTATATGTACACATAGGTCTGTAGGTCTGTATCGGTATACATATGTCTGTAGGTCTCTATACGTACTCATAGGTCTGTAGGTCTGTATCGGTATACATAGGTCTGTAGGTCTCTATATATACACATAGGTCTGTAGGTGTGTATCGGTATACATAGGTCTGTAGGTCTCTATACGTACACATAGGTCTGAAGGTATACATAGTTCTGTATGACTATATAGGTATACATATTGTCTCTATGAATATATAGATATATTACAGGTGTGTAGGTCTATAAAGGTACATATAGATCTGTAGGTCTACATAGGTAGACGATACATGTGTATGTAGGTCTATATAGGTATACATAGGTCTGTAGGTCTATATAGGTATACATAGGTCTATATATTTATATAGGTTTGCACAGGTCTGTAGGCCTATGCAGGTATACATAGGTCTGTAGGTCTATATAGGTATACATAGGTCTATATATCTATTTAGGTTTGCACAGGTTTGTAGGTCTACATACGTATACACAGGTCTTTACATATACATAGGTCTGTAAGTGTCTATGCATATACATAGGTCTGTATGTCTATATAGGTTTACATGGGTCTGTAGGGTTGTATAGGTTTACATAGGTCTGTATGTCTATATAGGTTCACATAGGTCTGTAGGTCAACATAGGTAGATGTAGGTCTGTAGAAGTATATAGAAGTGTGTAGGTATACATAGGTCTGTATGTTTATATAGGTAAACATAAGTCAGTAGGTCAATAGACCTATACATAGGTCTGTAGGTCAATATATGTATAACATAGGTCTGTAGGTCAATATATGTATTACATAGGTCTGTAGGTCAATAAGGGTATACATAGTTCTGTAGGTATATATAGGTATACATAAGTCAGTAGGTCTATACAGGTATACATAAGTCAGTAGGTCTATATAGTTATACATAGGTCTGTAGGTCAATAAGGGTATACAGAGTTCTGTAGGTATATATAGGTATACATAAGTCAGTAGGGCTATATAGGTATACATAAGTCAGAAGATCTATATAGTTATACATAGGTCTGTAGGTCTATATAGGTATACATAGGTGTGTATGTCTATGCAGGTATACATAGGTCTGTAGGTCTATATAGTTAGACAGGTGTGTAAGTGTATATAGGTATACAAAGGTCTGTAGGTCTATAGAGGCACATATAGATCTGTAGGTCTATACAGGTATACATAAGTCAGTAGGTCTATATAGTTATACATAAGTCAGTAGGTCTATATAGTTATACATAGGTCTGTAGTTCTATATAGGTATACATAGTTCTGTAGGTCTATATAGGTATACATAAGTCAGTAGGTCTATATAGTTATACATAGGTCTGTAGGTCTATATAGGTATACATAGGCCTGTATGTCTATACAGGTATACATAGGTCTGTAGGTCTATATAGCTAGACATAGGTGTGTAAGAGTATATAGGTATACAAAGGTCTGTAGGTCTATAGAGGTATACATAGGTCTGTAGGTCTATATAGGCACATATAGATCTGTGGGTCTATATAGGCAGATGTAGGTATTTAGGTCTATACAGGTATACATAGTTCTGTATGTCTATATAGTTAGACATAGGTGTGTAGGTTTATATAGGTATACAAAGGTCTGTAGATCTATACAGCTACGTATGTAGGGCTATATATTTGTAGATAGGTCTGTAGGTCTATATAATGGATGACGGTTTAGTCTCTTCTATCTACCTCTAAAGTCAACAGCTGTGTGTGTGGTGCATGCGTGTTTATCATGAAGAAATGTTGGTGGATTTATTACACTTTTAAAAAGTGTCTAACTACGTTATGTTATACAGATAAAGACTTAGTGTTGTGTAGGTATAGACAATGTTATACAGATAAAGACTTGCTGTTGTGCAGGTATAGACAATGTTATACAGATAAAGGTTTGCTGTTGTGCAGGTATAGACAATGTTATACAGATAAAGGTTTGCTGTTGTGTAGGTATAGACAATGTTATACAGATAAAGACTTGCTGTTGTTCAGGTGTAGACAATGTTATACAGATAAAGACTTAGTGTTGTGCAGGTATAGACAATGTTATACAGATAAAGGTTTGCTGTTGTGTAGGTATAGACAATGTTATACAGATAAAGACTTGCTGTTGTTCAGGTGTAGACAATGTTATACAGATAAAGACTTAGTGTTGTGCAGGTATAGACAATGTTATACAGATAAAGACTTACTGTTGTTCAGGTGTAGACAATGTTATACAGATAAAGACTTGCTGTTGTTCAGGTGTAGACAATGTTATACAGATAAAGACTTAGTGTTGTGCAGGTATAGACAATGTTATACAGATAAAGACTTACTGTTGTTCAGGTGTAGACAATGTTATACAGATAAAGACTTAGTGTTGTGCAGGTGTAGACAATGTTATACAGATAAAGACTTAGTGTTGTGCAGGTATAGACAATGTTATACAGATAAAGACTTAGTGTTGTGTAGGTGTAGACAATGTTATACAGATAAAGACTTAGTGTTGTGCAGGTGTAGACAATGTTATACAGATAAAGACTTAGTGTTGTGTAGGTGTAGACAATGTTATACAGATAAAGACTTAGTGTTGTGCAGGTGTAGACAATGTTATAGAGATAATGACTCAGTGTTGTGCAGGTGTAGACAGTGTTATACAGTTGAGTTGAGTTGGGTTTTACGTCACATCGGCATTATTCAGCCATATTCCAGTACAGAGTCAAAATGAGTTTTTATTTCAAAAACAAATATTCATTACATTGTCTTTTAAAAACAGAAAAAGTCATATCACTAAATTTAAAAGCAGGCAATTTGTTAGTCACATTACACAGTTACAATTTATGATACAGATCAACTTCCCTCAGGAAGCTCACTATCAGATGAAACTGCCTCCGTGGTGTAGCGGTTAGAGCGTCTGCCCGGAGAGCAGAAGGTTGCGGGTTCGATCCCCGACCGCGTCATACCAAAAGACGTTAAAATATGGTACTTGTTGGTCCCTGCCTGGCGCTCAGCATTAATGGGTACAACAAGGACTGGTCGGCTCGGAGTCAGTATAATGTGTCTGAGTGGGGTATTCATGCTTCACTGCGGCATGGTATCTCAGTGGGCTAGCACTATAAAACGGGGCTAGTACAAGCAGCCGCACATACACATACACACACATGCCCCTCGTCAGATGAGCGAAATATTCTCAAGCACGACGATAAACCCAATTTCACCTCACCTCACCTCACTATCAGATGAGCCACACGGGTGTAGACAGAACAGATCTGTCAGATTTGTTGCAGTGGTCGCAGTTAATGACTTAGTGGTCGCAGTGGGGTCACAAGCTCGGTGTAACGATGGTATTATATACAGATAAAGACTTAGTGTTGTGTAGGTGTAGACAATGTTATACAGATAATGACTTAGTGTTGTGCAGGTGTCGACAATGTTATACAGATAATGACTTAGTGTTGTGCAGGTGTAGACAATGTTATACAGATAAAGGTGAGTACAATGTGTGAAACCCAACTCTGGTGTCCCCTGTCATGATATTGCTGGAATAGTGCTAAAAGCGGCGTAAAGCTAAACTCATTCACTCACAGATAAAGACTGTGTCGTGTGTTACATACACTGCCTGTGTTGTATAGCTACAAATGCATGTGGTACATATACTGCCTGTGTTGTATAGCTACAAATGCATGTGGTACATATACTGCCTGTGTTGTATAGCTACAAATGCATGTGGTACATATACTGCCTGTGTTGTATAGCTACAAATGCATGTGGTACATATACTGCCTGTGTTGTATAGCTACAAATGCATGTGGTACATATACTGCCTGTGTTGTATAGATACAAATGCATGTGGTACATATACTGCGTGTGTTGTATAGCTACAAATGCATGTGGTACAGACATCTGATGTATTCCCCAGGAAGCAGGATGACATTTGGGATCGACCAGACGAGCCTGGAGGCTCTACCACAGCACGAACGAATGAAGGTCTGCAAACAGATTCGACAGAAGCAGATCGAGAACTATGTGTGCTTCCTGTTGGAGCAGGGTCGACCACCTGTAGCAAGCAGACCCAACAAGAAGAACACAACAGTCCACTTCAGTGTTAACCACTTGCTACAGACCGCCATTGAGAGCTTCAATGACAGAGAAGGTAAGTCAGATACTGTTTCTGCTGTACTGGTAGATATATAGAGAGGTGCCATACAGACTTTGGGCTGTACTGTAGATATATAGAGAGGTGCCTTATGTACTTTGAGCTGTACTGTAGATATATAGAGAGGTGCCATACAGACTTTGAGCTGTACTGTAGATATATAGAGAGGTGCAATACAGACTTTGGGCTGTACTGTAGATATATAGAGATGTGCCATACAGACTTTGAGCTGTACTGTAGATATATAGAGATGTGCCATACAGACTTTGAGCTGTACTGTAGATATATAGAGAGGTCCCATACAGACTTTGGGCTGTACTGTAGATATATAGAGAGGTGCCATACAGACTTTGGGCTGTACTGTAGATATATAGAGAGGTGCCATACAGACTTTGGGCTGTACTGTAGATATATAGAGAGGTGCCATACAGACTTTGGGCTGTACTGTAGATATGTAGAGATGTGCCATACAGACTTTGGGCTGTACTGTAGATATATAGAGAGGTTCCATACAGACTTTGGGCTGTACTGTAGATATATAGAGATGTGCCATACAGACTTTGGGCTGTACTGTAGATATATAGAGATGTGCCATACAGACTTTGAGCTGTACTGTAGATATGTAGAGATGTGCCATACAGACTTTGGGCTGTTCTGTAGATATATAGAGAGGTGCCATAGAGACTTTGGGCTGTACTGTAGATATGTAGAGATGTGCCATACAGACTTTGGGCTGTACTGTAGATATATAGAGAGGTTCCATACAGACTTTGGGCTGTACTGTAGATATATAGAGAGGTGCCATACAGACTTTGGGCTGTACTGTGAGAGATATATAGAGAGGTGCCTTACAGACTTTGGGCTGTACTGTAGATATATAGAGGTTGCCATACAGACTTTGGGCTGTACTGTAGATATAAAGAGATGTGCCATACAGACTTTGGGCTGTTCTGTAGATATAAAGAGAGGTGCCATACAGACTTTGAGCTGTACTGTAGATATAAAGAGATGTGCCATACAGACTTTGAGCTGTACTGTAGATATAAAGAGATGTGCCATACAGACTTTGGGCTGTACTGTAGATATATAGAGAGGTGCCATACAGACTTTGGGCTGTACTGTAGATATAAAGAGATGTGCCATACAGACTTTGGGCTGTACTGTAGATATATAGAGAGGTGCCATACAGACTTTGGGCTGTACTGTAGATATATAGAGATGTGCCATACAGACTTTGGGCTGTACTGTAGATATAAAGAGATGTGCCATACAGACTTTGGGCTGTACTGTAGATATATAGAGAGGTGCCATACAGACTTTGGGCTGTACTGTAGATATATAGAGAGGTGCCATACAGACTTTGGGCTGTACTGTAGATATAAAGAGATGTGCCATACAGACTTTGGGCTGTACTGTAGATATATAGAGATGTGCCATACAGACTTTGGGCTGTACTGTAGATATAAAGAGATGTGCCATACAGACTTTGGGCTGTACTGTAGATATAAAGAGATGTGCCATACAGACTTTGGGCTGTACTGTAGATATATAGAGAGGTGCCATACAGACTTTGGGCTGTACTGTAGATATAAAGAGATGTGCCATACAGACTTTGGGCTGTACTGTAGATATATAGAGAGGTGCCATACAGACTTTGGGCTGTACTGTAGATATAAAGAGATGTGCCATACAGACTTTGGGCTGTACTGTAGATATAAAGAGATGTGCCATACAGACTTTGGGCTGTACTGTAGATATATAGAGAGGTGCCATACAGACTTTGGGCTGTACTGTAGATATAAAGAGATGTGCCATACAGACTTTGGGCTGTACTGTAGATATATAGAGATGTGCCATACAGACTTTGGGCTGTACTGTAGATATAAAGAGATGCCATACAGACTTTGGGCTGTACTGTAGATATAAAGAGATGTGCCATACAGACTTTGGGCTGTACTGTAGATATATAGAGAGGTGCCATACAGACTTTGGGCTGTACTGTAGATATAAAGAGAGGTGCCATACAGACTTTGGGCTGTACTGTAGATATAAAGAGATGTGCCATACAGACTTTGGGCTGTACTGTAGATATAAAGAGATGTGCCATACAGACTTTGGGCTGTACTGTAGATATATAGAGAGGTGCCATACAGACTTTGGGCTGTACTGTAGATATAAAGAGATGTGCCATACAGACTTTGGGCTGTACTGTAGATATATAGAGAGGTGCCATACAGACTTTGGGCTGTACTGTAGATATAGAGGGTGCCATACAGACTTTGAGCTGTACTGTAGATATATAGAGAGGTGCCATACAGACTTTGGGCTGTACTGTAGATATATAGAGAGGTGGCCACCAGTGGTTGTATCTGGTTGTATCTGGAGAGATTTACATCATCCAGACTTTGAGCCACCGTAGATATCTGATTGTATCTGATTGTATCTGGAGGATTTACATCATCCCTTTGGCCACCAGTGGTTGTATCTGGTTGTATCTGGAGGATTTACATCATCCCTTTGGCCACCAGTGGTTGTATCTGGTTGTATCTGGAGGATTAACATCATCTCTTTGGCCACCAGTGGTTGTATCTGGTTGTATCTAGAGGATTTACATCATCACTTTGGCCACCAGTGGTTGTATCTGGTTGTATCTGGAGGATTTACATCATCACTTTGGCCACCAGTGGTTGTATCTAATGCTAACTGATGTTAAAAGGATTTCACTGAAATTGAGCAATTGGGATATGCTGAAGCAACTTTTGGGTGTTCTACACTGACTTGGGGATATGCCATAGAGACTTTGTAGATCTATTTTTATCCCCCGCAACGCGTTTTGCGGGGGGTATTAAAATGGACTCCGTCCGTCCGTCCGTCCGTGCACATTTGTCTTTTCCGGAGCAGAACTCTAAAACCGTTCGATATTTCTTCACCAAACTTGGCACATACATGGATCTGGTGGTGTACTGGTGCCTTTTGGTAGTTTTGGAATCCTGAATTAAATATTTTTGGCGTTTCCATGGCAACAAGTTCGACTTTGACTGAAATTGGTGGTAGTGCTCTTTTCCGGAGCAGAACTCTAAAACCGTTCAATATTTCATCACCAAACTTGGCACATAGATAGATCTGGTGGTGTACTGGTGCCTTTTGGTAGTTTTGGAATTCTGAATAAAATTTTTTGGCGTTTCCATGGCAACAAGTTCAACTTTGACTGAAATTGGTGGTAGTGCTCTTTTCCGGAGCAGAACTCTAAAACCTTTCAATATTTCTTCACCAAACTTGGCACATAGATAGATCTGGTGGTCCACTGGTGCCTTTTGGTTGTTTTGGAATTCTGAATAAAATATTTTTGGCGTTTCCATGGCAACAATTTGACTTAGACTGAAATTGTGGTTGTGCTCTTTTCCGGAGCTGAACTCTAAAACTGTTCACTATTTCTTCACCAAACTTGGCTCATAGATAGATCTGGTGGTGTACTGGTGCCTTTTGGTAGTTTTGGAATTCTGAATAAAATATTTTTGGCGTTTCCATGGCAAGAAGTTTGACTTAGACTGAAATTGGTGATAGTGCTCCTTTCTGGAGCAGAACTTTAAAAACCTTTCAATACTCTCCTTCCACTTTTCTATATACACACCTAAATATTTGACATAATCATAACTCGTAGACATAATCATGAAGAGTATTTTGCCATTGCGGGGGATATTGATGACTTTGTCTTCTTGTGTATATATACTCTCCCAAAAAGGAAACACATATAGGAATTTCAAATGTATTTTTAGGTTTATTTTGAAACTTCTTGTAGGCTTTATGAGTCAATGAATGACTTTTCTGTCTTTGGCACCAACTCGAGGAAAGTCAGTTTGACGTGTGGTGGCGCTGAAGTCAATACCTCGTGTGACCACCGTGGGCATCCAGAACTGCACGGCATCGCCTCGGCATCGGATGAATAGATCCCAGAATCTCGTGTTGCCCAATCGCAGCCCACTCCGCCTGTAGTGTCTGTGCGAGTTGCTGAAGTGTCTGGGGCTGAGGGTTACAGCGTTGCATGCGTCTGTCCATGGCATCCCACATATGTTCGATCGGGTTTAAGTCCGGTGATCTTGAGGGCCAGGGGAGCACATTGATGTTGTGGTTCTGGAGGAAGTATCTAGGGTGACGTGCTGTGTGGGGCCTGGCATTGTCCTGTTGAAACAACTCCCTCTGGCGATCAGTGATTGGAAGGAGGTGTGGGCGTAAGATTTCGTCACAGTACTGTTGAGCTGTCAGGTTGCCCTGGATCATCACCAAATCACTTCTCCCATGGCAGGTGATCGTTCCCCACATCATAACACTTCCCCGGCCAAATCTGTCCACCTGGGGAACGCAAGCGTTAGCGAAACATTCACGTCGACGTCTGTACACCCGCATTCTTCCATCGCATCGTTCCAATAGAAATCGTGATTCATCACTGAACCAGATTCTATGCCAATTCGGTAGGTTCCAGGCCTGAACGTTAGCGCACCACTGAACTCGATGTCGACGATGTTGTTGTCAAGCACAGGGCCAAAATAAGGTCTTCTGGCACGTAAACCAGCCTCTCTCAACCTGTTCCTCGAGGTCTGTGCAGAAAGCCTCCTCAATCCGGGTATTTGTCGAGCGGTACTGGTCACCGTAGCTGTTCGATGACGCAGTTGATGTACCCGGATGTATCGATTTGACGCAGTGGTTGCTCGAGGTCGCATCTGCTACCGCATTCTGACGGCGATATCTCTCCCAGAGCCGTGAAATGGTGCTTTGGTGAACATTCATGCGTCGGGCAACTGCACGTTGAGACTGGCCAGCTTCAAGCAAAGCAATGGCGATATGACGGTTGGCTTCGCTTAGACGTGGCATTTTGCGTTCGCCAACAATATTCCAAATACAGTGAATAATCGACAGACAGCGATCAACCTTTTATACCCATCATTGAGACTATCTGATCCCCAACTTTCACGTGCATTGCATGTGAATTGTGTATTCTGTGACACTACACGCTGAAAATTGAAAATCATGCTGTTAAATACAGGTATTTTAAAGATGGTGCATTTTGTTGTGATATTTCAAAACATAAACACCATAGGGCAAAACTTTTTGTAAAGTGAATCACGTTTTAATTCATTGCTACATGAAATTGCTATTTTCATGATGCATTTCTTTTTTGGGAGAGCATGTATATATATCATGCTGTGAAATTAATTATTGTCTGAACTACTGCTTCTATAAACAACATGTCACTGTTGGGATTACTGTAAATCACAAAATTAAACGAGCATGATATTTTTGTGAAAATTGCGAATGACTTGAGCTCGCAAAAATGTCATGACGCAATGTATTATTCACCAGTCCATATATTTTTCCTTATCCTGACTCATGCTTAATTGCTTGTCTCCTTCCTCTTGCGAACTATAGTGGAACACTTGAATCCCCTTTTGAAGCTCCCTTAAAAAAAAGCAGTCTTAAAATCACTCACCCCACTAGTAGCCTCCGTTTGCTTTTTGGCGCCAAAACCCGTCACATGATCAGACAAGCTCTTCACTCTCTCCTTCTTCGCCCTAGCGGACGGTTGTGAGAGCGCTTGGGTCCCCTATACAGCATTATATACTTTTATTTTAGGCTTTGACTACTAAATTAGCTGTATACAGTCTTTAGCAAGGATATACCAGCAATAAGGTTTGAAATTTGTACCAAATTTTCTGTTTATTCACGTTGTTGACATGATTTTTCATCTTGTTTACATTTGATGAAATCTTGCATTCGTTGCAGGTTTTGTTTATCGGCTGCTGATCCGCATTCATTATGTCCTAACTGCACTTCTACATGTTCTTCGAGCCTCCGCTGTAAACTTTGTCAGTATTTATCTGAAATTGAATTTACTAATTATTTATATTCCATTCTTAGACGTGCCAAGGACAGGTTGAGACAACTTTTACAAGTCATGTCTAAACAGAGTGAATGCGTTGATAACCATGTATTATTGTCTTCAGAGATTCACCATTTCAGTGATTTGCCGGTGGCTTCTACGGAGCTGTTGACTGTAGCAGATGGCAGCTCTGGGTCCAGGAAGAGATCGTCATCGTCTCAACTACCCTCGTCGCAGTCTAAGAAGACCAAGACATCGTCTGCTCTGAAGAAGAAATCGTCTACAGATGAGACTTAATCGAAGTCGTCCCTTGGGGCAGCAAAGAAGACGAGGTCCTTCGCCCCAGATATCACCCCACCGGACAGAAGCAGACGTATACGATGAATCACCCGTCCTGATTCCTGAAGTAAAAGTTAGGAAGAAGACGAGGTCTTCTTCCATAGTGAAGTCGGCAGCCATATCAACGCAGACTTCAGAGACCAGAGATGACAGGCAGTCCTTGGAAGGAGCCTCAGCACTCTCAGATGTGTCGTCATCTTTACAGCAGCAGCAGTTGTCAACGCAGACCTTCAACCCGGGTATCTTCATGCAGCAGTTTACTCAGCAGATGATGGACCTGATGGAACGGAGGTTCGCGCAGGAGAAGGCTGCTGTGAAGACACCATCTATGACAAACCTGCACGAAGGACAAGCAGCCTGCAGATTGCATCCGAGTGAAGATGGCTGCCTGCTTGAAGAAGGGAACATTCATGAAGGATCACATACTCGACAGTCATCCAAGAATACTTTCCGAGAATCTGTCAACCTGGACAACGATGATCCTGCAGTAGAAGACGAGCATTCATGAAGGAGAACCAGACTTTCACCGGAGCATCGCAGATCATCCATGACCTCAGACTCTGACAATCATCATGGACCTGCCCGAACGTACTTCACATCCCACGGAAGAGAATCTTCACCTTCACGAAGGCGCAGGAATACGTCTCAAGACTCCTGGGGAGGATCTTTATATGGATCGATCACCTTCGCGCAGGTCTTCAGGAAGATCTTCACGTTCATCGCCACGCAGATCTTCATGCACATATAGGTCGCCACGCAGGTCTCCACACGCATGTCCAAGAAGGCATTTGCAAATGTCTCCACGTAGATCACCACGTAGATCTCCACTCAGGGAGCAAGCACAACGGCAACGATCTTCAGAACAAGATGCATCCAAATCTGAAGATGATGGTGGAATCATATTCTCCGATACAGAGATCAAGTCTTGGATGGCTAATGGATTGGAGCTTGCATGACCTTCTAAAGAGGATAATGAGGCATTCACATACATGATGTCAAACGATGAATTTGATATGCTCACCCTTCCACCCATAGATCCTGTGTTGAATGTACCTGAGAACCTCAGTACAGCCTTCGGGAAGGCAACGAAGTTCCAGAGTCAAAGTATACCACCGTTCAATGCCAAGAAAGTTCTCTCTACACCATATGGAACCCTTCATGAAGGCCCCAGAGATAGACGAGAACTACAAAATCATCAACAACGCCCGTACCAGGACTAATATAGTAGACATTAAGAAGCTAGCACAACTAGACACAACTACCAGGCGTACCTTCTTTGGTCTAGCCAGATAAAGAGCCACCAATGAAACCCTCATTGCGAAGTTTAGGGACTCCACCTCGGAAGAAGATCGTATGATCTACTCGGCATTGCTAACCCAGAAGAAAGACCAGCAGTTTATATCGGAGCATCTGGCATCTACATCAGCAGGGTTGAGGCTACTGAGAAGACAACGGCTACTATCTTCCTGTAATTGGAGTGAGAAGTTCACCAAGACTTTGTACAGAGCTCCATGATCAGTATCAGCTATCTTCGCAGGGGAAATTGAAGACGAAGAAAATTGGCCAAAGAAGTTATGAAGGAGTCTAGGGAGGTCATGATGATCAAGTCTATTGATACACTGGCCAGTGTTATCCGACAGACATCTCAACACTACTCTGGCAAATCGAAGTTTGCGGGGATACAGAGAGGTAGAGAGAAGAAATACGGCACTTCCAGAGGAGGCAAGGATTCTTTTCATCGCCCAACCGGAGCTCCCAGAGGTATACCCGGAAGAGGCAAAGGATTCAGAGGTGCCAGGAATGCTAGACATTGGTAGACGGGTTCGGAAGGACTGGAGTCTTCCACCCCAGCCGTTCCCATACAACCTTCGACAGTTTGTGGACGTCTACAACGCTACTGGGAGAATTGGGGAATTCTTGAGGACAACTACGTATCCCAGATACTACGCAGAGGATACAAGATTCAACTGCAAGCAGTTCCACCATTGACAAGCACTCCTCGGACGCACAACTATGCTACTGACCGGAGGGAGAAACTACTCGACAACTCTACTCGAGGCAGTCGAAGAAATAAAACAGGAACTCATCACTCCCGGTTTTTACTCCCCAATCTTCCTGGTACCAAAGAAAAATTCCAAGGAAAAGTTCCTACAACATCAGTAAATTCAACCAGGATTATTTACGCAGACCTGCAAAGTTCAGGATGATACACCTTCCTAAACTACGACAAGTCTTCCGTCCATTAGACTACCTCGCCAGCATAGATCTACAGGATGCGTATCTTCACATCCCGATACACCCGGACTCACAGAGATACCTTCGATTCCTCTTCAACGGACGTCATTACCAACGGAAGGTGCTTCCTTTTGGAATATTGTCGGCCCCCTGGTTGTTTACTTGAGTGACAAAGCCCATCATCACATACCTACATCATCGAGGTCTACACAGTGCATTTTACCTGGACGACGGGATTCAAGCTCATCAAGATCTCAGTCAACTCAGACTGCAACTAGACTTCACCATCAGGCTACTCAATCAACTAGGATGGATAGCAAATCTCCTAAAACCTACACAGGATCTTCAATTCCTAGGAATACGACTCATCAGATCAGCGAATCGCATAGTCGTTCCAGAGGAATGTTGTCAAGATACAACAGATGATATCTCAAGCACTACTCTCTCCATTACCACTACGAAGTTGGCAGAGCCTACTCGGTCTCCTCACGTCAGCACAAGACATGACACACAGAGGAAGACTTCAACTGCGCCCACTACAAGTGTTTGTGAATGCTCATCTAGACAGTCTGGATTCCTTCAAACTACCGGACGAACAGGAACCATACCTACTATGGTGGACTTGGAAGTGGAATGTTTGCGGAGGAACCTACTTATCAGAGACGGAGTCCAACACTCATCTCTACGCAGATGCATCTTTTCAGGGATGGGGAGCTCACCTCAACAACGAAGTGGCAGCGGGAAAATGGTCGAGTCAGGAACAAAGTCTGCACATCAACATGCTCGAGATGAAAGCAGTAGTAAACGCCTTACTACACTGGTCCAGCATACTAAGGAATGCACAGCTGATGATCCATACGGTCAACTCCACAGTGGCATTCTACATCAACAGACAAGGATCAACAAGGTCAAGGAATCTGCTAGACCTCAACTTTCAGCTATTCAGCATAATAGACAACATGAACATCAGCATAAAAGCATGCCAAATTCCCAGAGCCAAAAATGTGATAGCAGACGCCCTATCTCGTCCAACGCAACCATCCCCGACGGAGTGGATGTTACATCCAGAGGCGTTCAGATGCATCATTCAGATGATAGGATCTCCACTGATAGACCTGTTTGCAACAAAGTTCAACAAACAACTACCAACATTCGTCTCTCCGATTCCAGATCAACAAGTATATCTTGGGAAGGACTAAACGCTTACGCGTTCCCTCCTCCAGCTCAAATACCAAAGGTGTTAGAGAAAATCAAGCGGACGAAGAAGCTGCAACTGAGTTTGGTCGTGCCAGCGAGGGTGTGGTTTCCCATCCTCATACTAGAACTCGGAAATCCAACCCTGCAACTCCCAGAAGTGGCCAAACCTACTAGTTCATCCGCACACCAAGCAAGCACACAGAAATCCAACAGTATTTCAGCTACATGCATGGAGCTTATCAAAACTTGCTTGAAGAAAAGAGGATATTCCGCCAGAGCAGCGAAATCAGTCACATTAGCTCTACGTAGATCAACTCGCAACTTGTACAACGACAAGTGGGGTTTTTGAGAAATATGCATTGAGGAAGGGTTCCACAGCAATGAAAGCAACACATCCTCAAGTGGCGGAATTGTCATCTAATACAAACAAGGCAGCTAAAAGGGTCAACACTCTCTACATACCTAGCAGCCCTCAGCACAGTTATCACCATGAAGACGGGTGTGAAGCTGACCAAAGTACCATTACTACGCTCCTTTAAGTTGGAAGACCAACAAAAGAAGTTTAAGGCACCTGCTTGGGATCTCAGCGTGGTCTTGCAGCATCTCACCAGTGATGCTTACAAACCACAAGTAAGGACATTCTATGAGAGGTTAACTCATAAAACTCTGTTCCTGATCACCTTGGCAACAGGAGCTCGGATGTCAGAAATACATGCTCTGGACTTTGAACGAATACGATTTGATGCACATCACAACATCATACATCTGGGATTGAGATGGGACTTCATAGCAAAGAACCAACTGCCCGGTCAACCAGACAGACAGTTCCATATCCCAGCACTCTCATCAATCCTAGGGCCACAGGATACTCAAGATTTATCCCTATGCCCAGTCAGAGCATTGAAAGTCTACCTACAAAGGTCAAAAACGAGGAGACGAAAATTCAAGTGCCTTTTCATCCGTCGATCTACGGAGACGACTACAGAGGTCTCACGTACAACAATATCAATATGGATGAGAGCTGTCATATTGAGAGCCTACAAAGCAGCAGGACTTGAGCCACCATGAGCCCCTAATCCTCATGAAGTAAGAGCACTGGCGTCGACACTCGCTCTACATGGAAACTGCTCCATCTCAACAATAATGGAGGGCTGCTTTTGGAAGTCGGAGACAGTGTTTGCCAACCACTACCTCAGAGACATGGTTACCGAAGACGTCTCCGGCATTCACCAGTTTGGGCCTCTGGTTGTAGCACAACAATTGAAGTTTCTTCAAAGACGCTGAGATTAATCTCACTCTATTTATCACGTGACTTGTAAAAGCCAAACTCGGAAGAGTTAGAGCTTTAGAGTCCATGTGCACGTCTAGGACAGGCTAGCATGAGTGACAGACCCTGTACTTGTAAGGACTTACTTGTACAAGAAGAAGGGTCACTTCTCCACTTGATGTGAGCATCAAGATATGGAGTTGCATAAATCCACACATAATGTCAGGAGAAGACGATTCCAGAGAAATCTGACATGTTGTGGTCCCCCCAGACTCATCAGAGGAAGCTGGAAGAAAGGACACAGTGCCATTAGAAGTTCCCTAGGGGGGTATGCAGGACGTAAATCAGCAGCTATGAATCCAGAGTGGCTCGAACCACCACCGGTTCTGTCGGATTCTACAAGCAATTAAGCATGAGTCAGGATAAGGAAAAATATGTAATTTTCTGATTAAAATTGATATTTTATACTTATCCTGACTCACTAGGTCAGCCCTCCCAACCTCCCCTCATGGCACTCTGGATTTCCCTGTAGATCTGGGTGTCGGGCTCATATTCGGAGAGAGTGAAGAGCATGTCTGATCATGTGAAGGGTTTTGGCGCCAAATAGCAAAGGGAGGCTACTTGTGGGGTGATTGATTTTACGTCCGCTTTTTTTAAGGGAGCTTCAAAAGGGGATTCAAGTGTCCCACTATAGTTCGCAAGAGGAAGGAGACAAGCAATAAGGCATGAGCCAGGAAAAGTATAAAATATCAATTTTAATCAGAATTTTACATAATCAACAACAGATCTAGCCAATACATCAATTAAGAAATGATAACAACTTGAGGGAACACTAATTACTAGCATTACTAGTACTTACATGTCACATGTCAAACAAGGGCTACTTGAACAAAGGTACTCAATCTGTTCGTCTCATAGTCCAGATGAGCACCAACCATACAACACACATTCTGTTTCTTGAGAGACCGTTTGATAGGCCATCACCATCCAACAGGTTTTCCGGAGATCAATAGCTTTGGTGATGTCATTCTCAACCATTTAATAGAGGCATTGCAATTAATAAAATCCCTTTGAATTGTTTTAAGTTTATCTGGCCTGTGCAGCATGTGTTGGTTATAGGAAAGCACCACTGACTGCATACACACGGAAGTACTCTACTGAGCTCAGTTCAAGATTAGCGGCAGCCTTTAATATGTGATTGGATTTACATTAGGTTGAACTTTCAGTTGCGATCTATTTTTGAGAATTAGGCAAATCGCAAAAATATCATGACGCAAAAACGTTTGTTGACGTGTACTCACAAAAATATCGTGTGTAAACATTTCGTACTATACCGTATTGGATTTATTCCAATAACTTTAACAATTGATTAAAATGTTAAGAGACAAATCAACCCTCTGCAAGAATTCTCTCGTAATTTCAAATACTCGAATTTCATAAATACATGATATGTTTTATGCTGAAGTGTCATGTACACTGACATCAGTGTGAGAAATAGCCAGTGGCCCGCTAGCCTGTGGCTAGTGAAAATCCGGCCTATTTTAGAATACAGCACCACAAACTTTAAAACTATGTAACCCTTTTACGTAATTACAAGTGATTTTGTTCGAAAGCACGTTCTCGAAACAATGCCCTTGGAACACGGTTGTCCAGCTCAGCGAGTGCGAATAAGCTCCGCTCACTGATGTTTTATCTCTACTAGATTTGTCACTGCATAAGCCCAACGATGTTGAGAGTTTCCAGTAGTTGTATACCGGCGGATGCTCAAATTTTCGCAAGCACCAGTTTGAAATATTTTACTTTTTTCACTAATACGCTAAAATTTATTTGCATTACGGGGGACTGAGATGTTATATTTTGTGTATTGTTGTATTTTGTATTTTTTAAATTTAGGGTTAGGATTAGAGACCTAATCCAGTAAAGTAGGTACATGTCCAGTGTAATACGTGAGTAGCATTTGCTGTTTTTCCTTTTGCATTTTAATAAAATAAAAGGGAAACCAAAAACGTCGAAAGTACACTATGAAATGGTTTGATGTAGAAATTTTGGGCAAATGGAAATTGGCCTGGAATTTGCACTCAAGCCTCTTTCACACGCAACATTTGTTCTGTAATGATTCGAAGGGTAACTCACTCTCGTGCCATCACTAGACATGCATATGTCTCCCTCGTTCCTTAGCGCGATCCACATTATCCTTACAGTGTTCCCTACATCACTTTTCTATCACAAAATCACCCTATTTTTATAACAGCACGTCATTCATGCATGCTCCGTGAAATCGACATCTGATGCCTGATGTCAACAACCCTTTTCAGTTTGAGCCATATCGGCTCATTCCAACGCCACACGGTATCTTGTAGATTACGGAATTGGTGCTAAATGGCATCGGGTCCTTTCGGCAATTGTCTGTAGATTAAGATCACGAAACACTAAGTCTACCTGTAACTTTCGTAATTGTCTGTGACCTATTCGACGTTATCCTTTCATTTCATGACGTCACAGGAATGACTTGATAAATTTGCACATTGTGTAACAGAGTGGACGTAGCTCAGTCCGTTAGCTGTTGAGGTAACAATCCGAACGTTGCGAGTTCGCGTCCGACGGGTTCTCACAAACTGGTTGCTTGTCCTAATGACACGTGACCTACCGCATCGATCATTCTCACGAAAAGTTGTGGTGCTGTATTCTAAAGGTGCTCCGAAAATCCAATTGGACCAGTACATCTCCAGTAGTGAATTTTCATTGGGCCATTTTGTAAATATATCACTCTCTCCAACTTGTTAAGTTGTAATAAACAAGCAAGAATATGGCCTGATAATAATGCACATCATATTAGCAGCTTCATGATGAAACCTGTGTCATGCCAACAATATCTTACTCTCATCTAGTTTTAAAATCTTTTGCTTAGTTTCTACATTCAAATTTCGGGCTAGTTAATTATTTTGTGGGCTAGTATCTTTCAGGCATAGCCAACCTGACTGGCTAGCAAAATATGGAAACTATTTCGCACACTGACTGACATGAACCTTTATTATCCCCCTGGCATGTAATGTGTGGAGATATAGTCGACACCTCGTCTGTCTGTCCATCCATAATCATTTTATTTCTGGAGCATAACTTAAAAAACATTTGATATTTTTCAACAAACAGAACCTAAGGTGGTGCATTTTGCTATTTACAGATTTTTCTGATTTATTATTTTCTCGGTTTCCATGGAAACGATTTGGACTTAATCTCGAAAAGAAAGGGTTGGGTTCGTTTCCAGAGCACAACTTGAAAACCGTTCAATATCTTTCAACAGAACTTGGCAGATATGTTAGCCAGATCTTGAAGTGGTGCCTTTTGCTATTTACAGATTTTTGTCAATTTTGTTTTTCTCGGTTTCCATGTAGATCTGGTATTTTTAGAGCAACATCAACTATCAAACTGTAGATGTGGTATTTCTGGAGCTGCATCAACTATCAAACTGTAGATGTGGTATTTCTAGAGCTGCATCAACTATCAAACTGTAGATGTTGTATTTCTAGAGCTGCATCAACTATCAAACTGTAGATGTGGTATTTCTAGAGCTGCATCAACTATCAAACTGTAGATGTGGTATTTCTAGAGCTGCATCAACTATCCATCTGTAGATGTGGTATTTCTAGAGCTGCATCAACTATCAAACTGTAGATGTGGTATTTCTAGAGCAGCATCCGTATCTATCAAACTGTAGATGTGTGATTCGTGGATGTGGCACGTGTTCCCCTCTCTTGTGCTGGTTTGGATTGCTGATAAGATTGTCACTAACCCTTGAAATCAGCATTGCTAGTGTACACCATGTTTTAATAACTGTTTTCTGCATACGATGAGCTTGTCTCACTGGAACTCCTTTTCAATTTAAAGGGAAATAATTATTTTCATCAAAGTAATAGATTTCAATGGCTTCACATACCAGGTGGGTATTTGTCAAGAATATTTTGTGACCTCTCCTTCCAGTGGGTGACCTTGTGAAGGGCGGGGCTGATGTTAACTTCACTACTGCCAACAACACAACACTTCTACACAAGGTAGGAAGCCAGTTTAACCACAAGCAGATTGCTACAGTAACATGAACTCAAGACAAGGATTTCACATCACGTTTATTATGTCAAAACTTCAGATTAAAGAGGAAGAACTTTAAACCTTTCTGCATTTCCAGAGACATCATCTGATTCCAAAATAGCAGAAAATCTTATGATTACTAAAGAATCCCACCGTCACTTGTTTCTGATCCACAGGTTTAACTTGAATAAACATTTTAACATGGATCAGCTTGAGCTGTCTTCCCCTTGTGCTATCTCAACAAGTTGTTTTCACAGTGTTTTTTGTGTACTTGTTCTGTGTTAAAGTTTTCAAAAAAATTCTCAGGTTCATCATTTCTTTTTCTATTTAAGATGTTTATATCTAAAGGCCGCAAATATATTTCAGCTTGATTGCTAAAAATTGGTTGATTTGCTCTAAACTTTTGTCTCCTCATGCAGTGAGTGTCCACGTGATAGTTTTCCTTTGTCTCCCAATGCAGACAAAGATTTCTCCCGATTTTGAGAGATCGTCTGACATTCACTTCGCATCCCCATTCCTGCCATAATCACAGACGATTTCGAGAGATCGTCCGACATCCACTTAGTCCCGAGGTAGCATGATGTCTCCCCTGTCCATTCTGATCTGCTTACACTCACCATCTCTGAGCCAAAGAATACCACAGAAGAAGGCTTTCCATATCCTCACGTACATATCCATAGGGGATTCTATGATCTCCATGGATCTGCAGGATGCATATCTTCATGTACATATCCATAGGGGATTCTATGATCTCCATGGATCTGCAGGATGCATATCTTCATGTACATATCCATAGGGGATTCTATGATCTCCATGGATCTGCAGGATGCATATCTTCATGTACATATCCATACGGGATTCTATGATCTTCATGGATCTGCAGGATGCATATCTCCATGTACATATCCATAGGGGATTCTATGATCTCCATGGATCTGCAGGATGCATATCTTCATGTACATATCCATAGGGGATTCTATGATCTCCATGGATCTGCAGGATGCATATCTTCATGTACCTATCCATAGGGGATTCTATGATCTCCATGGATCTGCAGGATGCATATCTTCATGTACATATCCATAGGGGATTCTATGATCTCCATGGATCTGCAGGATGCATATCTTCATGTACATATCCATAGGGGATTCTATGATCTCCATGGATCTGCAGGATCATGCAGGATACATATCCATAGGGGATGCTATGATCTTCATGGATCTGCAGGATGCATATCTTCATGTACATATCCATAGGGGATTCTATGGTCTCCATGGATCTGCAGGATGCATATCTTCATGTACATATCCATAGGGGATTCTATGATCTCCATGGATCTGCAGGATGCATATCTTCATGTACCTATCCATAGGGGATTCTATGATCTCTGTAATGTATGGTACTTAAGAATCATATTCCGATTTAGTCATAACCATTCCAACTTTTATATACATCCTTAATCTGATTCCTTCTTTGGGTGCCTGTACAACTTTTGTGTAAAAAAAACGTCACTGATGTACACAACATGGCTACCGGTCAAATAAATTGATGATGTTCAATCCATGTGTGATCTTTGTGTTCACAAGCCATCCAAACTTAATGAAGATGAAACAATCTCCATGGATCTGCAGGATGCATATTTCCACGTACCTATACTGAACCGCAAAAGAAACGCACACCTATAGAGGTTTCTTAAACCACACACTTTAATTCTCTCTAATTAACAATCAAAACGGAGGACTGCATTCAAACTTGACAATTATGGTTAACACATTTTCGGGAATCACATTTAGAGTTCACGCAAATAAATTCACCAAAAATTGTACCACTAAGATACTCGAAAGTCAGTATCGTGTTGGCCTCTATGGGCATCGAGGACGGTGTTGCGTCGTCTGTACATGGAATGAATTAGTCGGTTGATGAAGGCCATAGGCACTGGAGATCTCTGCGAAATGCCTGATTGAGTCCAGCCAGAGTTGTCGGCCTTGGTTGGAGGTCATTCAGTCTTCTTTGAATCTCATCCCAAAGGTGTTCTATTGGACTTAAATCCGAACTGGGTGCAGGCCATTGCAGGGTTTGGATGCCATGTTGTCTTAGGAAGTCCTGTGTTGCTCTGGCAGTGTGGGCACGTCTTGCTGGAAGATATGATTTCTGTGACGTTCAAAACGTAGTACAATGTAGGGTCTTATGACTTGGTCAGTATAGCGACTAGCTGTCACGCCATTTCTTCATCCTGGACCATGATTCTGGAACACCATGGGGCCAACTCTCTGGTTCAGACTGATTTCTCCCCACACCATGATGCTTGGACCACCCCACGAGACTTTCAAGATTACATGCACTGGAAAACTATTCCCCATGCCTTTGCCATATTCTCACTCTGCCATGGGCTGTCGAAACACAAGATCGGCTTTCATCAGAAAAAAGCACAGTTCTCCATTGTTGATAACATCAATTTCGATGCTGAGTTGCTCGTTACAGTCGGTTTGGGCGGTAACGAGCGGTGAGGACAGGACCATGAGATGGTCTGTGACAGCAGAGGTTTCTTTCACGCAAACATCGATGCATTGTTTCCGTGGTTCAGGTGAAGCGATCCTGCAGATGGCTGCGCACAATCTGTGGGTCTTGACGTTGTGATGTAACTGCAGGTCGTCCACTGCGAGCGGTCATTGATGCTGTTAGAAGCCTGATATCGTTCCTGCAGTCAGTAGATTGTCCTAACATGAACATTAAAATGATTGGCTACCCTCCGTGCAGTCAGGTCAACTTGCAATCATCCAAAGGCTTGGTTCCTCTCATCTCTCGTAAGTCGTGGTGTGGCAATTGTGTCAACACAAGAATGATTTCTGGCGAGTTTCATTGGTAGGATTGTCACGATCTGCATGTGCATTTTCATTTTCACGAATGTCATATGGAACCTTTTACCACGTCTGTCTTTTAAGATACGTTTAGTCGATATGCTTTTTCATCAGAAAACACACTAATGTTGGTAATAACTGTCAATTTGGATTGAAAAACATGTTACCAAAACGGTTCAATCATAATAAAAACACCACCTTGTAACAAAATTTTGCATTTGGTTTTGAAAAGTCACGTTTCATTTGCGGTTCAGTATATAAATAGGGGACTCTATGATCTCCATGGATCTGCAGAATGCATATCCTCATGTACCTATCATGATGATGGGGGACTCTATGATCTCCCTGGATCTGCAGGATGCATATCCTCATGTACCTATCATGATGATGGGGGACTCTATGATCTCCATGGATCTGCAGAATGCATATCCTCATGTACCTATCATGATGATGGGGGACTCTATGATCTCCATGGATCCGCAGGATGCATATCCTCATGTACCTATCATGATGATGGGGGACTCTATGATCTCCCTGGATCTGCAGAATGCATATCCTCATGTACCTATCATGATGATGGGGGACTCTATGATCTCCATGGATCTGCAGAATGCATATCCTCATGTACCTATCATGATGATCGGGGACTCTATGATCTCCCCTGGATCTGCAGAATGCATATCCTCATGTACCTATCATGATGATGGGGACTCTATGATCTCCTGGATCTGCAGAATCTGCAGAATGCATATCCTCATGTACCTATCATGATGATGGGGACACTATGATCTCCCTGGATCTGCAGAATGCATATCCTCATGTACCTATCATGATGATGGGGACTCTATGATCTCCTGGATCTGCAGAATGCATATCCTCATGTACCTATCATGATGATGGGGACTCTATGATCTCCCTGGATCTGCAGAATGCATATCCTCATGTACCTATCATGATGATGGGGACTCTATGATCTCCCTGGATCTGCAGGATGCATATCCTCATGTACCTATCATGATGATGGGGACTCTATGATCTCCATGGATCTGCAGAATGCATATCCTCATGTACCTATCATGATGATGGGGACTCTATGATCTCCTGGATCTGCAGAATGCATATCCTCATGTACCTATCATGATGATGGGGACTCTATGATCTCCCCTGATCTGCAGAATGCATATCCTCATGTACCTATCATGATGATGGGGACTCTATGATCTCCCTGGATCTGCAGAATGCATATCCTCATGTACCTATCATGATGATGGGGACTCTATGATCTCCCTGGATCTGCAGAATGCATATCCTCATGTACCTATCATGATGATGGGGACTCTATGATCTCCCTGGATCTGCAGAATGCATATCCTCATGTACCTATCATGATGATGGGGACTCTATGATCTCCCTGGATCTGCAGAATGCATATCCTCATGTACCTATCATGATGATGGGGACTCTATGATCTCCCTGGATCTGCAGAATGCATATCCTCATGTACCTATCATGATGATGGGGGACTCTATGATCTCCCTGGATCTGCAGAATGCATATCCTCATGTACCTATCATGATGATGGGGGACTCTATGATCTCCCTGGATCTGCAGAATGCATATCCTCATGTACCTATCATGATGATGGGGGACTCTATGATCTCCCTGGATCTGCAGAATGCATATCCTCATGTACCTATCATGATGATGGGGACTCTATGATCTCCCTGGATCTGCAGAATGCATATCCTCATGTACCTATCATGATGATGGGGGACTCTATGATCTCCATGGATCTGCAGGATGCAATCATACTTACCCATCTGGACTCTCACAAATATTTATTCACGATATTGACAGCCACGGTATTGCCATCTCCATCTCCATCTTGTTAGACCTTCAACATCTGCCCCCTATGACTACAAGTGGGGTTGATTCCAGCAGTGGAGAATCAGAACGGGAACTGCCAATGGGTCTATTACTATACCCATCTTCTGCATGGAACTATTGAAGGCTATCACTTGGCACTTGCGTCAGTCCTCACTATTACTATACCCATCTTCTGCATGGAACTATTGAAGGCTATCACTTGGCACTTGCGTCAGTCCTCACTATTACTATACCCATCTTCTGCATGGAACTATTGAAGGCTATCACTTGGCACTTGCGTCAGTCCTCACTAAGCAAAGAATTCATATTGGGGAAGACGCAGTTATTAACAGCATGTTACGTTCATTTGAAGTAGAGGATATCTAAAAATACCTATCCAAAAGTGAAATAGCAGCAATTGGATCAAGTAAAGCATTTAGCTAGCCATGGGAGATGTTCAGCCACCTACTGATGTCTCGCTCCAGCCATATGATAGCCCCTGCATCTTCCCTAGCTTCATGGAAGATGGTCTCCAATGAACAAATCATGTCAACATTCCAGTGGGTGTCTTCCAGCACATTCCCATGTTTTAACTGAGGGATGTGACCCAAGAGATGTATGGGCTGCACGGGTTCCCTACAAACTGCCCAGTGCATCCTTACTGCCTTCAACTGGGCTGCACGGGTTCCCTACAAACTGCCCGGTACATCCTTACTGCCTTCAACTGGGCTGCACAGGTTCCCTACAAACTGCCCGGTACATCCTTACTGCCTTCAACTGGGCTGCACGGGTTCCCTACAAACTGCCCGGTACATCCTTACTGCCTTCAACTGGGCTGGGCTGCACGGGCTCCCTACAAACTGCCCAGTACATCCTTACTGCCTTCAACTGGGAGGGTATGGGCTGCACGGGCTCCTACAAACTGCCCAGTACATCCTTACTGCCTTCAACTGGGCTGCACGGGTTCCCTACAAACTGCCCAGTACATCCATACTGCCTTCAACTGGGGAGGGTATGGGCTGCACGGGCTCCCTACAAACTGCCCGGTACATCCCTACTGCCTTCAACTGGGGAGGGTATGGGCTGCACGGGCTCCCTACAAACTGCCCAGTACATCCTTACTGCCTTCAACTGGGGAGGGTATGGGCTGCACGGGCTCCCTACAAACTGCCCAGTACATCCTTACTGCCTTCAACTGGGCTGCACGGGCTCCCTACAAACTGCCCAGTACATCCTTACTGCCTTCAACTGGGCTGCACGGGTTCCCTACAAACTGCCCGTACATCCTTACTGCCTTCAACTGGGCTGCACGGGTTCCCTACAAACTGCCCGGTACATCCTTACTGCCTTCAACTGGGCTGCACGGGTTCCCTACAAACTGCCCGGTACATCCTTACTGCCTTCAACTGGGCTGCACGGGCTCCCTACAAACTGCCCGGTACATCCTTACTGCCTTCAACTGGGGAGGGTATGGGCTGCACGGGCTCCCTACAAACTGCCCAGTACATCCTTACTGCCTTCAACTGGGGAGGGTATGGGCTGCACGGGCTCCCTACAAACTGCCCAGTACATCCTTACTGCCTTCAACTGGGCTGCACGGGTTCCCTACAAACTGCCCAGTACATCCATACTGCCTTCAACTGGGGAGGGTATGGGCTGCACGGGCTCCCTACAAACTGCCCGGTACATCCCTACTGCCTTCAACTGGGAGGGTATGGGCTGCACGGCTCCCTACAAACTGCCCAGTACATCCTTACTGCCTTCAACTGGGGAGGGTATGGGCTGCACGGGCTCCCTACAAACTGCCCAGTACATCCTTACTGCCTTCAACTGGGCTGCACGGGCTCCCTACAAACTGCCCAGTACATCCTTACTGCCTTCAACTGGGCTGCACGGGTTCCCTACAAACTGCCCGGTACATCCTTACTGCCTTCAACTGGGGAGGGTATGGGCTGCACGGGTTCCCTACAAACTGCCCGGTACATCCCTACTGCCTTCAACTGGGGAGGGTATGGGCTGCACGGGCTCCCTACAAACTGCCCGGTACATCCCTACTGCCTTCAACTGGGGAGGGTATGGGCTGCACGGGCTCCCTACAAACTGCCCGGTACATCCCTACTGCCTTCAACTGGGGAGGGTATGGGCTGCACGGGCTCCCTACAAACTGCCCAGTACATCCTTACTGCCTTCAACTGGGCTGCACAGGCTCCCTACAAACTGCCCAGTACATCCTTACTGCCTTCAACTGGGCTGCACGGGTTCCCTACAAACTGCCCAGTACATCCTTACTGCCTTCAACTATGGAGGGTATGGGCTGCACGGGTTCCCTACAAACTGCCCGGTACATCCCTACTGCCTTCAACTGGGGAGGGTATGGGCTGCATGGGCTCCCTACAAACTGCCCGGTACATCCCTACTGCCTTCAACTGGGGAGGGTATGGGCTGCACGGGCTCCCTACAAACTGCCCGGTACATCCCTACTGCCTTCAACTGGGGAGGGTATGGGCTGCCCGGTACATCCCTACTGCCTTCAACTGGGGAGGGTATGGACTGCCCAGTACATCCTTACTGCCTTCAACTGGGGAGGGTATGGGCTGCCCGGTACATCCCTACTGCCTTCAACTGGGGAGGGTATGGGCTGCCCGGTACATCCCTACTGCCTTCAACTGGGGAGGGTATGGGCTGCACGGGTTCCCTACAAACTGCCCGGTACATCCCTACTGCCTTCAACTGGGAGGGTATGGGCTGCACGGGTTCCCTACAAACTGCCCGGTACATCCCTACTGCCTTCAACTGGGGAGGACAAAAGGTTGGGGGCATGCAAGAACATTTGTTACCTCCAGGAGACAATTGCTTCTTGTGGCTTATTTTGCCAACATGTGAAATTTCTTTTAAAATCCCTCTGATGTAGCTACGATAACTCGTAGTATTAATTTCTGTTACATTTGATAAGACGAATGTATAGATTGCATTCATGGACCGCATGTGAAGTCAATTCACCCCTATGTTTATTTCTTCAATCATTCCCTTTCGGATTTACATTCTTGTTCTGAATAATCCTATAATCCTATAACATAGGCTTGACAATTTGCGCAGTTCAAACACACTACTTTTGAAGATGACAGTCAAAAAGGACGAATGACTCCAACAGAAAAAAGGCAAATATATTGTTTGCAACAGCTGCTTATCAAAACGAGAAATAAAATACATGTATCTGTTGAAAAATGAAAGTCTTTTCATATCATTTTGTGTCATCTCTCCACACGTTGCCCTTCAACATTCTACTCTGCCACACTACATTCACAACTGAATTAGAGTGACCTCCCTTGGTCTGTTGAGAATTACATAAAGCGCTCATAAAATACTTGATCATTTTGGCCTCAACAAGTATATTCGTGGTAGGCAGTCAATGTGTTAACAATTTTATTCAAATTAGTGCCGTGGATCAGAAATAAGTTTCAGGAAATAAGGGAATTAAGTGTTAGATGTAGTATTAGATTATTATCATTGATAAGAATATTCTCATCAAAGAATGTCAAATACAAAATCAGCTGGTGTCTCGAGTTGTTGTTGTTGATTTTGTTTTGTTGTGTTGTTGTTGTTTTATGCCTATATTTCATGGCAGTGTTGCATGGTGGGTAATGCGAGGGCAGCAGAGGTTCTGATTGGTGGAGGGGCCAATGTGAATGCCAGAGATGATGACTGGTGGACACCTTTACACATTGCATGTTACCATGACAACATAGACCTGGTGAAGCTGTTGCTAGGGAGTGGTGCGGACATCACTCTGATGGACATCGATGGCAACTTTGTGTTTGATCATGTTATGCGTGACTTTGAGGTGTATGACATGATCACACAACAGCAGGATGAACTGGGTGAGTGATTGCTACAGTAGGGTGAACTGGGTGAGTGATTGCTACAGTAGGGTGAACTGGGTGAGTGATTGCTACAGTAGGGTGAACTGGGTGAGTGATTGCTACAGTAGGGTGAACTGGGTGAGTGATTGCTACAGTAGGGTGAACTGGGTGAGTGATTGCTACAGTAGGGTAAACTGGGTGAGTGATTGCTACAGTAGGGTGAACTGGGTGAGTGATTGCTACAGTAGGGTGAACTGGGTGAGTGATTCCTACAGTAAGATGAACTGGGTGAGTGATTGCTACAGTAGGGTGAACTGGGTGAGTGATTGCTACAGTAGGATGAACTGGGTGAGTGATTGCTACAGTAGGATGAAGTAGGCGAGTGATTGCTACAGTAAGATGAACTGGTCGAGTGATTGCTACAGCAGGATCAACTGGGTGAGTGATTCCTACAGTAGGATGAACTGGGTGAGTGACTGCTACAGTGGGATGAACTGGGTGAGTGATTGCTACAGTAGGATGAATTGGGTGAGTGATTGCTACAGCAGGATCAACTGGGTGAGTGATTGCTACAGCAGGATCAACTGGGTGAGTGATTGCTACAGCAGGATCAACTTGGGGAGTGACCGCTACAGCAGGATCAACTGCATGAGTGATTGCTACAGTAGGATGAAGTAGGCGAGTGATTGCTACAGTAAGATGAACTGGGTGAGTGATTGCTACAGTGGGATGAACTGGGTGAGTGACTGCTACAGTAGGATGAACTGGTCGAGTAAATGCTACAGTGGGATGAACTGGGTGAGTGATTGCTACAGTAGGATGAATTGGGTGAGTGATTGCTACAGCAGGATCAACTGGGTGAGTGATTGCTACAGCAGGATCAACTGGGTGAGTGATTGCTACAGCAGGATCAACTGGGGAGTGACCGCTACAGCAGGATCAACTGCATGAGTGATTGCTACAGTAGGATGAAGTAGGTGAGTGATTGCTACAGTCGGATCAACTGGGTGAGTGATTGCTACAGCAGGATCAACTGCATGAGTGATTGCTACAGCAGGATCAACTGGGTGAGTGATTGCTACAGCAGGATCAACTGCATGAGTGACTGCTACAGTAGGATGAACTGATCGAGTGATTGCTACAGTGGGATGAACTGGGTGAGTGATTGCTACAGTAGGATGAACTGGGTGAGTGATTGCTACAGCAGGATGAACTGGGTGAGTGATTGCTACAGCAGGATGAACTGGGTGAGTGATTGCTACAGCAGGATCAACTGGGTGAGTGATTGCTACAGCAGGATCAACTGGGTGAGTGATTGCTACAGCAGGATCAACTGGGGAGTGATTGCTACAGCAGGATCAACTGCATGAGTGATTGCTACAGTAGGATGAAGTGGGTGAGTGATTGCTACAGCAGGATCAACTGGGGGAGTGACCGCTACAGCAGGATCAACTGCATGAGTGATTGCTACAGCAGGATGAAGCAGGGGTGAGTGATTGCTACAGTAAGATGAACTGGTCGAGTGATTGCTACAGTGGGATGAACTGGGTGAGTGACTGCTACAGTAGGATGAACTGGTCGAGTAAATGCTACAGTGGGATGAACTGGGTGAGTGATTGCTACAGTAGGATGAACTGATCGAGTGATTGCTACAGTGGGATGAACTGGGTGAGTGACTGCTACAGTAGGATGAACTGGTCGAGTAAATGCTACAGTGGGATGAACTGGGTGAGTGATTGCTACAGTAGGATGAATTGGGTGAGTGATTGCTACAGCAGGATCAACTGGGTGAGTGATTGCTACAGCAGGATCAACTGGGTGAGTGATTGCTACAGCAGGATCAACTGGGTGAGTGATTGCTACAGCAGGATCAACTGCGTGATTGCTACAGCAGGATGAACTGGGAGTGATTGCTACAGTGGGATGAACTGGGTGAGTGATTGCTACAGCAGGATCAACTGGGTGAGTGACCGCTACAGCAGGATCAACTGCATGAGTGATTGCTACAGTAGGATCAACTGGGTGAGTGATTGCTACAGCAGGATGAACTGGGTGAGTGATTGCTACAGGAGGATGAAGTAGGTGAGTGATTGCTACAGCAGGATGAACTGGGGGAGTGATTGCTACAGCAGAATGAACTGGGAGAGTGATTGCTACAGCAGGATCAACTGGGTGAGTGCTACTGCAGGATCAACTGGGGGAGTGATTGCTACAGCAGGATGAACTGGGTGAGTGATTGCTACAGCAGGATGAACTGGGTGAGTGATTGCTACAGCAGGATGAACTGGGTGAGTGATTGCTACAGGAGGATGAAGTAGGTGAGTGATTGCTACAGCAGGATGAACTGGGGGAGTGATTGCTACAGCAGAATGAACTGGGAGAGTGATTGCTACAGCAGGATCAACTGGGTGAGTGCTACAGCAGGATGAACTGGGGGAGTGATTGCTACAGCAGAATGAACTGGGAAAGTGATTGCTACAGCAGGATCAACTGGGTGATTGCTACTGCAGGATCAACTGGGGGAGTGACTGCTACAGCGGGATGAACTGGGGGAGTGACTGCTACAGCAGGATGAGGGTAAACAGCGTCTGATGTAGTGCTGTAAGATAGGGGTAAACCGGGTGTCTTGTAGTGCTGTAAGATGGGGGTAAACAGGGTGTCATGTAATGCTGTGTAAGATGGGGGTAAACAGGGTGTCATGTAGTGCTGTAAGATGAGGGTAAATAGGGTGTCATGTAGTGCAGTGTAAGATGGGGGTAAACAGGGTGTCATGTAGTGCTGTGTAAGATGGGAGCAAACTGGGTGTCATGTAGTGCAATTTAAAATGGGAGTAAACAGGGTGTCATGTAGTGCTGTGTAAGATGGGGGTAAACAGGGTGTCATGTAGTATTGTGTGAAATGGGAGCAAACAGGGTGTCATGTAGTGTTGTGTAAGATGGGGATAAACAGGGTGTCATGTAGTGCTGTGTAAGATGGGGGTAAACAGGGTGTCATGTAGTGCTATGTAAGATTGGGGTAAACAGGGTGTCATGTAGTGCAGTGTAAGATGGGGGTAAACAGGGTGTCATGTAGTGCAGTGTAAGATGAGGGTAAACAGGGTGTCATGTAGTGCTGTGTAAGATGGGGTAAACAGGGTGTCATGTAGTGCTGTGTAAGATGGGAGTAAACAGGGTGTCATGTAGTGCAGTGTAAGATTAGGGTAAACAGGGTGTCATGTAGTGCTGTGTAAGATGGGGTAAAAGGGTGTCATGTAGTGCTGTAAGATGGGGATAAACAGGGTGTCATGTAGTGCTGTGTAAGATGTTAGTTAACAGGGTGTCATGTAGTGTTGTGTAAGATGGGAGTAAACAGGATGTCATGTAGTGCTGTAAGATGGGGATAAACAGGGTGTCATGTAGTGCTGTGTAAGATGGGAGTAAACATGGTGTCATGTAGTGCTGTGTAAGATGGGAGTAAACAGCATCTGATGTAGTGCTGTGTAAGATGGGGATAAACAGGGTGTCATGTAGTGCAGTGTAAGATGGGGGTGAACAGGGGTCATGTAGTGCTAAAAACAGGGTGTCATATAGTGCTGTAAGATGTAAGGGGTAAACATGTAGGCTGTGTCTTGTGGGGTGCTGTAATGATGAAGATGAGGGTAAATAGGGTGTCATGTAGGTAAGATAAGGGGGTATAGGGTGTCATGTAGTGCAGTGTAAGATGGGGGTAAACAGGGTGTCATGTAGTGCAGTGTAAAATGGGGAGTAAACAGGGTGTCATGTATGTGTGGGGATAAACATGTACTGCAGGGTGTCATGTAGTGCTGTGTGTAAGATGGGGTAAACAGGGTGTCATGTAGTGCTGTGTAAGATGGGGGTAAACAGGGTGTCATGTAGTGCTGTGTAAGATGGGGGGTAAACAGGGTGTCATGTAGTGCAGTGTAAGATGAGGGTAAACAGGGTGTCATGTAGTGTTGTGTAAGATGGGGAGATAAACAGGTTGTCATGTAGTGTTGTATAAGAAGATGGGAGCAAACATGGGTGTCATGTAGTGCAGTGTAAAGATAAGGGGGTAAAACAGGGTGTCATGTAGTGCTGTGTAAGATGAGGGGGTAAACAGGGTGTCATGTAGTGCTGTGTAAGATGGGAGTAAACAGGGTGTCATGTAGTGCAGTGTAAGATGAGGGAGTAAACAGGGTGTCATGTAGTGCTGTGTAAGATGGGGATAAACAGGGTGTCATGTAGTATTGTGTGAAATGGGGAGCAAACAGGGTGTCATGTAGTGTTGTGTAAGATGGGGATAAACAGGGTGTCATGTAGTGCTGTGTAAGATGGGGAATAAACAGGGTGTCATGTAGTGCTGTGTAAGATGGGGGTAAACAGGGTGTCATGTAGTGCTGTGTAAAGATGGGGGTAAACAGGGTGTCATGTAGTGCTGTGTAAGATGGGAGTAAACAGGGTGTCATGTAGTGCAGTGTAAGATTAGGGTAAACAGGGTGTCATGTAGTGCTGTGTAAGATGGGGGTAAAAGGGTGTCATGTAGTGCTGTAAGATGGGGATAAACAGGGTGTCATGTAGTGCTGTGTAAGATGTTAGTTAACAGGGTGTCATGTAGTGTTGTGTAAGATGGGAGTAAACAGGATGTCATGTAGTGCTGTAAGATGGGGATAAACAGGGTGTCATGTAGTGCTGTGTAAGATGGGAGTAAACATGGTGTCATGTAGTGCTGTGTAAGATGGGAGTAAACAGCATCTGATGTAGTGCTGTGTAAGATGGGGATAAACAGGGTGTCATGTAGTGCAGTGTAAGATGGGGGTAAACAGGGTGTCATATAGTGCTGTAAGATGGGGGTAAACCGGGTGTCTTGTAGTGCTGTAAGATGAGGGTAAATAGGGTGTCATGTAGTGCAGTGTAAGATGGGGGTAAACAGGGTGTCATGTAGTATTGTGTGAAATGGGAGCAAACAGGGTGTCATGTAGTGTTGTGTAAGATGGGGATAAACAGGGTGTCATGTAGTGCTGTGTAAGACGGGGGTAAACAGGGTGTCATGTAGTGCTGTGTAAGATTGGGGTAAACAGGGTGTCATGTAGTGCTGTGTAAGATGGGAGTAAACAGGGTGTCATGTAGTGCAGTGTAAGATGAGGGTAAACAGGTTGTCATGTAGTGTTGTGTAAGATGAGGGTAAACAGGTTGTCATGTAGTGTTGTATAAGATGGGAGTAAACATGGTGTCATGTAGTGCAGTGTAAGATGGGGGTAAACAGGGTGTCATGTAGTGCTGTGTAAGATGGGGGTAAACAGGGTGTCATGTAGTGCTGTGTAAGATGGGAGTAAACAGGGTGTCATGTAGTGCAGTGTAAGATGAGGGTAAACAGGGTGTCATGTAGTGCTGTGTAAGATGGGGATAAAAGGGTGTCATGTAGTATTGTGTGAAATGGGAGCAAACAGGGTGTCATGTAGTGTTGTGTAAGATGGGGATAAACAGGGTGTCATGTAGTGCTGTGTAAGATGGGGGTAAACAGGGTGTCATGTAGTGCTGTGTAAGATTGGGGTAAACAGGGTGTCATGTAGTGCAGTGTAAGATGGGGGTAAACAGGGTGTCATGTAGTGCAGTGTAAGATGAGGGTAAACAGGGTGTCATGTAGTGCTGTGTAAGATGGGGGTAAACAGGGTGTCATGTAGTGCTGTGTAAGATGGGAGTAAACAGGGTGTCATGTAGTGCAGTGTAAGATTAGGGTAAACAGGGTGTCATGTAGTGCTGTGTAAGATGGGGGTAAAAGGGTGTCATGTAGTGCTGTAAGATGGGGATAAACAGGGTGTCATGTAGTGCTGTGTAAGATGTTAGTTATCAGGGTGTCATGTAGTGTTGTGTAAGATGGGAGTAAACAGGATGTCATGTAGTGCTGTGTAAGATGGGGATAAACAGGGTGTCATGTAGTGCAGTGTAAGATGGGGGTAAACAGGGTGTCATATAGTGCTGTAAGATGGGGGTAAACCGGGTGTCTTGTAGTGCTGTAAGATGAGGGTAAATAGGGTGTCATGTAGTGCAGTGTAAGATGGGGGTAAACAGGGTGTCATGTAGTATTGTGTGAAATGGGAGCAAACAGGGTGTCATGTAGTGTTGTGTAAGATGGGGATAAACAGGGTGTCATGTAGTGCTGTGTAGCGAACTGGGTGTCAGATGGGGGTAAACAGGGTGTCATGTAGTGCTGTGTAAGATTGGGGTAAACAGGGTGTCATGTAGTGCTGTGTAAGATGGGAGTAAACAGGGTGTCATGTAGTGCAGTGTAAGATGAGGGTAAACAGGTTGTCATGTAGTGTTGTGTAAGATGAGGGTAAACAGGTTGTCATGTAGTGTTGTATAAGATGGGAGTAAACAGGGTGTCATGTAGTGCAGTGTAAGATGGGGGTAAACAGGGTGTCATGTAGTGCTGTGTAAGATGGGGGTAAACAGGGTGTCATGTAGTGCTGTGTAAGATGGGAGTAAACAGGGTGTCATGTAGTGCAGTGTAAGATGAGGGTAAACAGGGTGTCATGTAGTGCAGTGTAAGATGGGGATAAAAGGGTGTCATGTAGTGCTGTAAGATGGGGATAAACAGGGTGTCATGTAGTGCTGTGTAAGATGTTAGTTAACAGGGTGTCATGTAGTGTTGTGTAAGATGGGAGTAAACAGGATGTCATGTAGTGCTGTAAGATAGGGATAAACAGGGTGTCATGTAGTGCTGTGTAAGATGGGAGTAAACATGGTGTCATGTAGTGCTGTGTAAGATGGGAGTAAACATGGTGTCATGTAGTGCTGTGTAAGATGGGGATAAACAGGGTGTCATGTAGTGCTGTAAGATGGGGATAAACAGGATGTCATGTAGTGTTGTATAAGATGGAAGTAAACAGGGTGTCATGTAGTGCTGTGTAAGATGGGGGTAAACAGGCTTCTCATGTAGTGCAGTGTAAGATGGGGGTAATCAGGATGTCATGTGGTGCTGTGTAAGATGGGGGTAAACAGGGTGTCATGTAGTGCTGTGTAAGATGGGGGTAAACAGGGTGTCATGTAGTGCTGTGTAAGATGGGAGTAAACAGGGTGTCATGTAGTGCAGTGTAAGATGAGGGTAAACAGGGTGTCATGTAGTGCAGTGTAAGATGGGGGTAAAAAGGGTGTCATGTGGTGCTGTGTAAGATGTGGATAAACAGGGTGTCATGTAGTGCTGTGTAAGATGTTAGTTAACAGGGTGTCATGTAGTGCTGTGTAAGATGGGGGTAAAGAGGATGTCATGTAGTGCTGTGTAAGATGGGGATAAACAGGGTGTCATGTAGTGCAGTGTAAGATGGGGGTAAACAGGGTGTCATGTAGGGCAGTGTAAGATGGGGGTAAACAGGTTGTCATGTAGTGCTGTGTAAGATGGGGGTAATCAGGGTGTCATGTAGTGCAGGGGTGAGTGGGGATTTGGATTGAAGATTTTCCCTCTTTATTTACCTCCACTCACTCAATTACTTACTGCATGTATCAGGTCTGACACCCAGCCAGCAGGTGGATCTACGTAGAGAGAGATGTCATGCGCTGTATGCTGCTGTCCAGGAGGGTCTTGATGCTGGACACAATGTAAATGCTGCATCCAAGAGAGGCATCACTTGGGTAGGTGGACAGATACAGTTGTCCAGGGAGACATCACTTTGGTAGGTGGACAGATGCTGTTGTCAGGAGACATCAGATGCTGGACTGATGAGTGTGGTGGACAGTCCAGGGAGACATCACTTGGGTAGGTGGACAAATGCTGTGGTCCAGGGAGACATCACTTGGGTAGGTGGACAGATGCAGTGGTCCAGGGAGACATCACTTGGGTAGGTGGACAGATGCAGTGGTCCAGGGAGACATCACTTGGGTAGGTGGACAGATGCAGGGAGACATCACTTGGGTAGGTGGACAGATGCTGTGATCCAGGGGAGACATCACTTGGGTAGGTGGACAGATACAGTGGTCCAGGGAGACATCACTTGGGTAGGCGGACAGATGCAGTGGTCCAGGGAGACATCACTTAGGTAGGCGGACAGATGCAGTGGTCCAGGGAGACATCACTTGGGTAGGTGGACAGATGCAGTGGTCCAGGGAGACTTCACTTGGGTAGGTGGACAGATACAGTAGTCCAGAGAGACATCACTTGGGTAGGTGGACAGATACAGTAGTCCAGGGAGACATCACTTGGGTAGATGGACAGATACAGTAGTCCAGAGAGACATCACTTGGGTAGGTGGACAGATGCTGTTGTCCAGGGAGACATCACTTGGGAAGGTGGACAGATACAGTAGTCCAGGGAGACATCACTTGGGTAGGTGGACAGATGCAGTAGTCCAGGGAGACATCACTTGGGTAGGTGGACAGATGCTGTGGTCCAGGGAGACATCACTTGGGTAGGTGGACAGATACAGTGGTCCATGGAGACATCACTTGGGTAGGTGGACAGATGCTGTGGTCCAGGGAGACATCACTTGGGTAGGTGGACAGATACAGTGGTCCAGGGAGACATCACTTGGATAGGTGGACAGATGTTGTTGCCCAGGGAAACATCACTTGGGTAGGTGGACAGATGCTGTGGTCCAGGGAGACATCACTTGGGTAGGTGGACAGATACAGTGGTCCAGGGAGACATCACTTGGGTAGGTGGACAGATGCTGTGGTCCAGGGAGACATCACTTAGGTAGGCGGACAAATGCTGTGGTCCAGGGAGACATCACTTGGATAGGTGGACTGATGCAGTGGTCCAGGGAGACATCACTTGGGTAGGTGGACAGATACAGTGGTCCAGGGAGACATCACTTGGGTAGGTGGACAGATGCTGTGGTCCAGGGAGACATCACTTGGGTAGGTGGACAGATCCAGTGATCCAGGGAGACATCACTTGGGTAGGTGGACAGATACAGTGATCCAGGGAGACATCACTTGGGTAGGTGGACAGATGCTGTTGTCCAGGGAGACATCACTTGGGAAGGTGGACAGATACAGTAGTCCAGGGAGACATCACTTGGGTAGGTGGACAGATGCAGTAGTCCAGGGAGACATCACTTGGGTAGGTGGACAGATACAGTGGTCCAGGGAGACATCACTTGGGTAGGTGGACAGATACAGTGGTCCAGGGAGACATCACTTGGGTAGGTGGACAGATGCTGTTGTCCAGGGAGACATCACTTGGGTAGGTGGACAGATACAGTAGTCCAGGGAGACATCACTTGGGTAGGTGGACAGATGCTGTGGTCCAGGGAGACATCACTTGGGTAGGTGGACAGATACAGTGGTCCAGGGAGACATCACTTGGATAGGTGGACAGATGCTGTTGTCCAGGGAAACATCACTTGGGTAAGTGGACAGATACAGTGGTCCAGGGAGACATCATTGGGGTAGGTGGACAGATGATGTAGTCCAGGGAGACATCACTTGTGTAGGTGGACAGATGCTATTGTCCAGGGAGACATCACTTGTGTAGGTGGACAGATACAGTGGTCCAGGGAGACATCTCTTGGGTAGGTGGACAGATACAGTGGTCCAGGGAGACATCACTTGGTAAGGTGGACAGATGCTGTGGTCCAGAGAGATATCACTTGGGTAGGTGGACAGGTACAGTGGTCCAGGGAGACATCACTTGGTTAGGTGGACAGATGCTGTGGTCCAGGGAGACATCACTTGGGTAGGTGGACAGATATAGTGGTCCAGAGAGACATCACTTGGGTAGGTGGACAGATACAGTGGTCCAGGGAGACATCACTTGGGTAGGTGGACAGATACAATGGTCCAGGGAGGCATCACTTGGGTAGGTGGACAGATGCTGTGGTCCAGGGAGACATCACTTGGGTAGGTGGACAGATCCAGTGGTCCAGAGAGACATCACTTGGGTAGGTGGACAGATACAGTGGTCCAGGGAGACCTCACTTGGGTAGGTGGACAGATACAATGGTCCAGGGAGGCATCACTTGGGTAGGTGGACAGATGCTGTGGTCCAGGGAGACATCACTTGGGTAGGTGGACAGATGTGGTCCAGGGAGACATCACTTGGGTGGTGGACAGATACAGTGGTCCAGAGACATCACTTGGGTAGGTGGACAGATGCTGTGGTCCAGAGAGACATCACTTGGGTAGGTGGACAGATGCTGTTGTCTCACTTGGGTAGGGTGGACAGATGCTGTTCTCCAGGGAGACATCACTTGGGTAGGTGGACAGATGCTGTTCTCCAGGGAGACATCACTTGGGTAGGTGGACAGATGCAGTAGTCCATGGAGACATCACTTGGGTAGGTGGACAGATGCTGTAGTCCAGGGAGACATCACTTGGGTAGGTGGACAGATGCTGTTGTCCAGGGAGACATCACTTGGGTAGGTGGACAGATACAGTAGTCCAGGGAGACATCACTTGGGTAGGTGGACAGATACAGTGGTCCAGGGAGACATCACTTGGGTAGGTGGACAGATACAGTGGTCCAGGGAGACATCACTTGTGTAGGTGGACAGATACAGTGGTCCAGGGAGACATCACTTGGGTAGGTGGACAGATACAGTGGTCCAGGGAGACATCACTTGGGTAGGTGGACAGATGCTGTGGTCCAGGGAGACATCACTTGGGTAGGTTGACAGATGCTGTGGTCCAGGAAGACATCACTTGGGTAGGTTGACAGATGCTGTGGTCCAGGGAGACATCACTTGGGTAGGTGGACAGATACAGTAGTCCAGGGAGACATCACTTGGGTAGGTGGACAGATGCTGTGGTCCAGGGAGACATCACTTGGGTAGGTTGACAGATGCTGTGGTCCAGGGAGACATCACTTGGGTAGGTGGACAGATACAGTGGTCCAGGGAGACATCACTTGGATAGGTGGACAGATGCTGTTGATCAGGGAGACATCACTTGGCGTAGTGACAGATATGTATGGAAAGGAAGGGCTTTGCCCCAACATATATGTTAATTCATTGATTAAGTTGTATATCATGCAACATTTTCCTGTGTTTCTATTCATATGAGTGCAAGGTAATAAGGATGTAGAAACAGTTTTGTATATTCATGTTTTGTCGGGTAAATACAATGAGGTGCATTCATTCCTTGTGTGACTTTACATGTCCTGGTGTACATTCAGCAGTGGAGCCACACCCGGGACACAGGTAGAGTGTATGCTTACATCCCATATGTCACTGTAGTAGGTGACAACTTGAACAGGAATATACAAATACATGTTGTGGGTACCTGACATATATAGACATAGTAGGTAAACAGGTAGACTAATCATATTATTACCTCACACAGGTAGTGTACTGTGATTACCTGACAGGTGTAGACTGTGTTATTACCTGACAGGTATAGATTGTATTATTACCTGGCAGGTGTGGAGTGTATTATTACCTAACAGGTTTAGACTGTGTTCTTACCTTACAGGTGTAGATGGTTGTATTACCTGACAAGTGTAGACTGTATTTTTAACTGACAGGTGTAGATTGTACTATTACCTGACAGGTATAGATTGTATTATTACCTGACAAGTGTAGACTGTATTTTTATCTGACAGGTGTAGATTGTACTATTACCTGACAGGTGTAGACTGTCTTATTACCTGACAGGTGTGGATTGTATTATTACCTGACAGGTGTAGACAGTGTTATTATGTGACAGGTGTACATTGTATTATTACCTGACAGATGTAGATTGTATTATTACCTGACAGGTGTAGACTGTGTTATTATGTGACAGGTGTAGATTGTATTATTACCTGACAGGTGTAGATTGTATTATTACCTGACATTTGTAGACTGTGATATTACCTGACAGTTGTAGACTGTATTATTACCTGACAGGTGTAGATTGTATTATTACCTGACATTTGTAGACTGTGATATTACCTGACAGTTGTAGACTGTATTATTACCTGACAGTTGTAGACTGTATTATCACGTGACAGGTGTAGACTGTGTTATTACGTGATAGGTTCAGACTGTGTTATTACCTGACAGGTGTAGATTGTATTATTACCTGACAGGTGTAGACTGTGTTTTACCTGACAGGTGTAGATTGTATAATTACCTGACAGGTGTAGACTGTATCATTACCTGACAGGTGTAGACTGTGTTATTACGTGATAGGTGTAGACTGTGTTATTACCTGACAGGTGTAGATTGTATTATTACCTGACAGGTGGAGACTGTATTTTTATCTGACAGGTGTAGATTGTACTATTACCTGACAGGTGTAGACTGTCTTATTACCTGACAGGTGTGGATTGTATTATTACCTGACAGGTGTAGACAGTGTTATTATGTGACAGGTGTAGATTGTATTATTACCTGACAGGTGTAGATTGTATTATTACCTGACAGGTGTAGACTGTGTTATTATGTGACAGGTGTAGATTGTATTATTACCTGACAGGTGTAGATTGCATTATTACCTGACATTTGTAGACTGTGATATTACCTGACAGTTGTAGACTGTATTATTACCTGACAGTTGTAGACTGTATTATCACGTGACAGGTGTAGACTGTGTTATTACGTGATAGGTTCAGACTGTGTTATTACCTGACAGGTGTAGATTGTATTATTACCTGACAGGTGTAGACTGTGTTTTTACCTGACAGGTGTAGATTGTATCATTACCTGACAGGTGTAGACTGTGTTATTACGTGATAGGTGTAAACTGTGTTATTACCTGACAGGTGTAGATTGTATTATTACCTGACAGGTGGAGACTGTGTTTTTACCTGACAGGTGTAGACTGTGTTATTACGTGACAGGTGAAGACTGTGTTATTACTTGACAGATGTAGACTGTATTATTACCTGACAGGTGTAGACTGTGTTATTACGTGACAGGTGTAGACTGTGTTATTACGTGATAGGTTCAGACTGTGTTATTACCTGACAGGTGTAGATTGTATTATTACCTGACAGGTGTAGACTGTGTTTTTACCTGACAGGTGTAGATTGTATCATTACCTGACAGGTGTAGACTGTGTTATTACGTGATAGGTGTAGACTGTGTTATTACCTGACAGGTGTAGATTGTATTATTACCTGACAGGTGGAGACTGTGTTTTTACCTGACAGGTGTAGACTGTGTTATTACGTGACAGGTGAAGACTGTGTTATTACTTGACAGGTGTAGACTGTGTTATTACCTGACAGGTGTAGACTGTGTTATTACGTGACAGGTGTAGACTGTGTTATTACCAGACAGTTGTAGACTGTGTTATTACCTGACAGGTGTAGACTGGGTTATTACCTGACAGGTGTAGACTGTGTTACTACTTGACAGGTGTAGACTGTGTTATTACCTGACAGGTGTAAACTGTATTGTTATTATAACCTGACAGGTGTAGATTGTATATAGCCTCACATAGGATGGAGATATGTCTACATATTTCACCTCTTCGTCAGATGGGGAGATGTCTACATGTCTCAACTGTGTGTGAGAAGGGGGAGATGTCTTCATGTCTAACCTACTGTGTGTGAGAGGTGGAGATGTCTGCATGTCTCACCTGTATTTGGGATGGGGAGATGTCTGCATGTCTCACCTGTATGTGAGATGGGGGAGGTGTCTCTACGTCTCACCTGTATTTGGGATGGGGAGATGTCTGGATGTCTCACCACATGCCTCAGTGTTGAGTTAGGATGGTGTTTGTTGCAGCTGCATATGGCCAGCGCTAATGGCTACCGGAGTGTTGTCAAGTTGTTATTAAACAACAATGCTGATGTGAATTCCCAGGATGATATTGGATGGACACCACTACATGTTGCAGCAAAATACTGCCAGGTAGGCCGCCATGAAACCCTTCCAAGTTCTGCAAGGATAATTCATACATGCGATACAAAATATCATTATTAATTAGTTTTTGAAATAGTACTCCATTATACCATCTTGAAATTACATCAAGTACAGCCAGGTAGGCCGTCATGAAATCATGGGTGTGCATGTTATACATTTTCTATGTTTTGATATGTTGTGTTTGATGTGTCGGCTTTTGATGGTTGGTGATGGATGGTTGAATTTATTCGTCTGTCTGAAGGTGAAAGTTGCTCGTCAGCTTCTGAAACACGGGGCGGACTGTGAGCGAGAAGACCAACAGGGAAGGAAGCCTGTAGAGGTGGCCGGCACAGAGGAGGTGCAGCGTGTCATCCAGGAGGCGCGGCGCAACGTCATCAGCGGAAACATCGTCACCCACTCACAGGATTCAGACAATGAACTAGAAGCTACTGAAACCATTGTCAGTAAAACCATGTAAGTCAGATTAAATCATCATATTTGCACCACAGTACATATACCACTGTCCAAATCCCATCGTACAAATCCCCCTGTCCAAATCCTGTTGTCCAAATCCCATTGTGCAAATCTCACTGTCCATTAATACCACTGTCCAAATCCCATCGTCCAAATCCCACTGTGCAAATACCGCTGTCCAAATCCCATCATCCAAATCCCACCATCCAAATCCCACCGTTCAAATCCCACCGTACAAATCCCATCATCCAAGTCCCACTGTTCAAATCATCATACCTACACCACTGTCCCAGTGAGTAGAGTGTCATATCAGTACCTACACCACTGTCCCAGTGAGTAGAGTGTCATATCAGTACCTACACCACTGTCCCAGTGAGTAGAGTGTCATATCAGTACCTACACCACTGTCCCACACCACTGTCCCAGTGAGTAGAGTGTCATATCAGTACCTACACCACTGTCCCAGTGAGTAGAGCGTCATATCAGTACCTACACCACTGTCCCAGTGCGTAGAGCATCTTATCAGTACCTACACCACTGTCCCAGTGAGTAGAGCGTCATATCAGTACCTACACCACTGTCCCAGTGAGTAGAGTGTCATATCAGTACCTACACCACTGTCCCAGTGAGTAGAGTGTCATATCAGTACCTACACCACTGTCCCAGTGAGTAGAGTGTCATATCAGTACCTACACCACTGTCCCAGTGAGTAGAGCGTCATATCAGTACCTACACCACTGTCCCAGTGAGTAGAGCGTCATATCAGTACTTAGACCACTGTCCCAGTGAGTAGAGCATCGTATCAGTACCTATCAGTGAGTGACGGGTCTGTTGTACAATGGGTGATGGGTCTGTTATACAATGAGTGACGGGTCTGTTGTACAGTGAGTGACGGGTCTGTTGTACAGTGAGTGACAGGTCTGCTGTACAGTGATTGATAAATCTGTTGTACAGTGTGTGATGGGTCTGTTGTACAGTGTGTGATGGGTCTGTTGTACAGTGAGTGATGGGTCTGTTGTACAGTGAGTGATGGGTCTGTTGTACAGTGAGTGACGGGTCTGTTGTACAGTGAGTGACAGGTCTGCTGTACAGTGATTGATAAATCTGTTGTACAGTGTGTGACGGATCTGTTGTACAATTAGTGATGAGTCTGCTGTACAGTGAGTGACGGGTTTGTTGTACAGTGAGTGACAGGTCTGCTCTACAGTGAGTGATGAGTCTGTTGTACAGTGAGTGATGTATCTGCTGTACAGTGTGTGATGGGTCTGTTGTACAGTGTGTGATGGGTCTGTTGTGCAGTGTGTGATGGATCTGCTGCACAGTGCTTGATGGGTCTGTTGTACAGTGTGTGATGGTCTGTTGTACAGTGTCTGATGGGTCTCTTGTACAGTGAGTGAAGGATCCGATGAACAGTGTGTGATGGATCTGCTGTACAGTGTGATGAGTCTGTTGTACAGTGTGTGATGGGTCTGCTGTACAGTGTGTGATGGGCCTGCTGTACAGTGTGTGATGGGTCTGTTGTACAGTGAGTGATGGATCTGATATACAGTGTGTGATAGGTCTGCTGTACAGTGAGTGACGGGTTTCTTGTACAGTTACAAGTCTGTTGTAAAATGTGTGATGGGTCTGTTGTACAATGAGTGACTGGATCTCTTATACAGTGTGAGATGGGTCTGTTGTACAGTGTGATGGGTCTCCTGTACAGTGTGTGATGGCTCTCTTGTACAGTGTGTGATGGGTCTGTTTACAGTGTGTGATGGATCTGTTGTACACTGTGATGGGTCTGTTTACAGTGTGTGACAGGTCTGTTGTACACTGTGTGATAGGTCTGCTGTACAGTGTGTGATGGGTCTGTTGTACAGTGAGTGATGGATCTGCTGTACAGTTTGTGATGGGTCTGTTGTAGAGTGTGTGATGGGTCTTGTACAGTGTGTGATGGTCTGTTGTACAGTGTGTGATGGATCTGCTGTACAGTGTGTGATGGATCTGTTGTACAGTGTGTGATGGATCTGCTGTACAGTGTGTGATGGGTCTGCTGTAGAGTGTGTGATGGGTCTGTTGTACAGTGAGTGATGGATCTGATGTACATTGTGTGATAGGTCTGTTGTACAGTGAGCAACAGGTTTGTTGTACAGTGACCGATCTGTTGTACAATTTGTGATGGGTCTGTTGTACAATGAGTGACTGGATCTGTTGTACAATTTGTGATGGGTCTGTTGTACAATGAGAGATGGGTCTGCTGTACAGTGTGTGACAGGTTTGTTGTACAGTGTGTGATGGATCTGTTGTACAAGTTGTGATGGATGTGTTGTACAATTTGTGATGGATCTGTTATACAGTGTGTGATGGGTCTGTTCTACAGTGTGTGATGGGTATGTTGCACAGTGTGTCATCGGACTGCTGTACAGTGTGTGGTCGGTCTGTTGTACACTCTGTGATAGGTCTGCTGTACAGTGTGTGATGGGTCTGTTTAAAAGTGTGTGATGGATCTGCTGTACAGTGTGTGATGGGTCTGTTGTACAGTGTGATGGATCTGTTGTACAGTGTGTGATGGGTCTGCTGTACAGTGTGTGATGGGTCTGTTGTACAGTGTGTGATGGGTCTGTTGTACAGTTTTTGATGGGTCTCTTGACAGTGTGTGATGAGTCTTTTGTACAGTGTGTGATGGGTCTGTTTACAGTGTGTGACGGGTTTGTTGTACTGAGTGTGATGGGTTTGTTGTACAGTGTTTAGGGTTTGTTGTACAGTGTGTGATGGGTCTGTTGTACAGTGTGTGATGGGTCTGTTGTACAGTGAGTGACGGGTTTGTTGTACAGTGAGTGATGGGTCTGCTGTACAGTGTGTGATGGGTCTGTTGTACAGTGAGTGATGGATCTGTTGTACAGTGTGTGATGGGTCTGTTGTACAGTGGGTGACGGGTTTGTTGTACAGTGAGTGATGGGTCTGCTGTACAGTGAGTGATGGGTCTGCTGTACAGTGTGTGATGGGTCTGTTGTACAGTGAGTGATGAGTCTGTTGTACAGTGAGTGATGGGTCTGTTGTACAGTGAGTGATGGGTCTGCTGTACAGTGAGTGATGAGTCTGTTGTACAGTGAGTGATGGGTCTGCTGTACAGTGAGTGATGGGTCTGCTGTACAGTGTGTGATGGGTCTGTTGTACAGTGAGTGATGAGTCTGTTGTACAGTGAGTGATGGGTCTGTTGTACAGTGTTAAGGGTCTAATGTACAGTGTGTGACTGAGTTTGTTGTACAGTGTGTGATGGGTCTCTTGTACTGTGTGTGCTAGGTCTGTTGTACAGTGTGTGATGGGTCTCTTGTACAGTGTGTGCTAGGTCTGTTGTACAGTGTGTGATGGGTCTGTTGTACAGTAAGCGATGGGTCTAATGTACAGTGTGTGACTGGTCTGTTGTACAGTGTCTGTGTATTTGCTTTAGGCATGCAGCTCATGTGAATCTGTCCCACTCCGATAAGCTGCTGGAGTCACAGATCCGCTATGGTCAGCAGGGAGCAGTGCATGCTGGGATGCTGGAAGACGAGGAAGAGTCCAGCAATGATACAGCTTATGTCTCGGCTATCTGGAAAGTTGCAGATTCTGAGGAGGTGATGAATTTCTAACGGTTGTGAATATGATTCTGTGTTGTAAATTCATTTTCATTACATTGTTTGGTGCCCTCTGAAAGTGTTTCCGAATGTTGATCCTAGCTAGTACCACCTTGTTTGAACAAATCACTGCAGCGTACAGGTGGTCAGTTGGCCGCTCTGTTAATGACAATATGAATGTATGTTTCTTCACAGGCCAGTCTTCCAATGTGGCATACGACAGACGACCTCACCACATTCACTGACCTGACAGAGAAGACGATGTTGGAGACTCTACAAACACGCTATGCAGATAGGCTTATATATGTAAGTATGTCCACAGTCGATGGTGGAGACACTACAAACACAATATACAGGTTGACTTATATATGTAAGTATGTCCACAGTCGATGGTGGAGACACTACAAACACAATATACAGGTAGACTTATATATGTAAGTATGTCCACAGTCAATGGTGGAGACTCTACAAACACAATATACAGGTAGACTTATATATGTAAGTATGTCCACAGTCAATGGTGGAGACTCTACAAACACAATATACAGATAGACTTATATATGTAAGTATGTCCACAGTCAATGGTGGAGACTCTACAAACACAATATACAGATAGACTTATATATGTAAGTATGTCCACAGTCGATGGTGGAGACACTACAAACACAATATACAGGTTGACTTATATATGTAAGTATGTCCACAGTCGATGGTGGAGACACTACAAACACGCTAATGCAGATAGACTTATATATGTAAGTATGTCCACAGTCGATGGTGGAGACACTACAAACACGCTATACAGATAGACTTATATATGTAAGTATGTCCACAGTCGATGGTGGAGACACTACACACACGCTATGCAGATAGACTTATATGTAAGTATGTCCACTGTCGATGTTGGAGACACTACAAACATGCTATGCAGATTGACTTATGTATGTCCACAGTCGACAGATATCAACACAGCTGGTAAGAAATGGGGTTTCTATATCTTCACCACCATTTCAGATCACCACAATAAATGGTTCATGCTTCAGACATACATTGGGGACATACTGCTGGCTGTAAACCCCTTCATGGAGCTGCCATACTATGCCAAGTCTGTAAGTATATACATGGACCTCCATGTACCTTGGTGTGTGAGTGACAGGCTGTAAGTATATACATAAGACTTGGTGTGTGAGTGACAGGCTGTAAGTATATACATGGGCCTTGTTGTGTGAGTGATAGGCTGTAAGTATATACACGGGCCTTGGTGTGTGAGTGACAGGCTGTAAGTATATACATGGGCCTTGGTGTGTGAGTGACAGGCTGTAAGTATATAGATGGGCCTTGGTGTGTGAGTGACAGGCTGTAAGTATATACATGGGCCTTGGTGTGTGAGTGACAGGCTGTAAGTATATACATGGACCTTGATGTGTGAGTGACAGGCTGTAAGTATATTCATGGGCCTTGGTGTGTGAGTGACAAGCTGTAAGTATATACATGGGCCTTGGTGTGTGAGTGACAGGCTGTAAGTATATACACAGGCCTTGGTGTGTGACAGGCTGTAAGTATATACATGGGCCTTGGTGTGTGAGTGACAGGCTGTAAGTATATATACATTGATCCTGGTGTTTTAGTGACAGGCTGTAAGTATATACATGGGCCTTGGTGTGTGACAGGCTGTAAGTATATACATGGGCCTTGGCGTGTGAGTGACAGGCTGTAAATATATATACATTGATCCTGGTGTTTTAGTGACAGGCTGTAAGTATATACATGGGCCTTGGTGTGTGACAGGCTGTAAGTATATAGATGGGCCTTGGTGTGTGAGTGACAGGCTATGAATATATATACATTGATCCTGGTGTTTTAGTGACAGGCTGTAAGTATATACATGGGCCTTGGTGTGTGACAGGCTGTAAGTATATACATGGGCCTTGGTGTGTGAGTGACAGTCTGTAAGTATATATACATTGATCCTAGTGTTTTAGTGACAGGCTGTAAGTATATACATGGGCCTTGGTGTGTGAGTGACAGGCTGTACGTAGAACAGTCACTTTAGTGGACCTTGGTGTGTGAGTGACAGGCTGTAAGTAGAACAGTCACTTTAGTGGACCTGGTGTGTGAGTGACAGGCTGTAAGTAGAACAGTCACTTTAGTGGACCTTGGTGTGTGAGTGACAGGCTGTAAGTAGAACAGTCACTTTAGTGGACCTTGGTGTGTGAGTGACAGGCTGTAAGTAGAACAGTCACTTTAGTGGACCTTGGTGTGTGAGTGACAGGCTGTAAGTAGAACAGTCACTTTAGTGGACCTTGGTGTGTGAGTGAAGCTGAAGCTTGATTACCTTTTTCCTGAAACTTGTTTCTAAGTCTACAGGTTTTGAAATTTCGATCCAGTTATCTTTCTTATTTGTGGTACACCAGGATATGACATGCAGAAGTACCCTGATCTCCCTAATGAGGAATTCCATTTTTATGTTTACTTGTCTTCTTAGAAATCTTTTCTTCGTCAATTTCAAGATCCTCATTCTGATTGCTGGGAGGCACTATGAGTCCTGTCTACCCTGTATACTTATATCAAAATGGGTGGGGAAAATACAGTCGCTGGCCGGGAGAGGTACTGTTAGAGGCTGGTGGATGGTTGATGTTGAGGTGGCCGGGAGAGGTACTGTTGGAGGCTGGTGGATGGTTGATGTTGAGGTGGCCGGGAGAGGTACTGTTGGAGGCTGGTGGCTGGTTGATGTTCAATAACAGTCTTCTATAGGAGGTAGCCCTGGATACCCATCAACATACTACACCAGATGAAGCTCCTGCACCTAAAGTCTTCACTGATGAAGCGTTATCTGCTGTTCTTATGTCATTTGAAGCTGTATTAAAGGACAATCAGATACAATATGCATTTACTGTAAATCACATATTTTTTGCTTCACGATATTTCTTCGACTTGCCTAATTCTCAAAAATAAATTGCAACTGAAGGCCACCAACATGGACAGCACTGATGAAATGGCCTCATGAGCCTTTCTGTAACTAATATGAGCTGTCAACGATATAGGCTAACAATAACCATGGCCACAAGTGCTTTTCAGGACATTCACTGCAGAAGTAACCGAGAAGGCACCACATCAGGACCACAGGAACAGGACCAAGCCTGATGCTAAGGGCTGACCACAGGAACAGGACCAAGCCTGGTGCTTAGGGCTGACCACAGGAACAGGGCCAAGAGATGCCAAGGACTGACCACAGGAACAGGACCAAGCCTGATGCTAAGGGCTGACCACAGGAACAGGACCAAGGCTGATGCTAAGGGCTGACCACAGGAAGAGGACCAAGCCTGATGCTAAGGGCTGACCACAGGAACAGGGCCAAGAGATGCCAAGGACTGACCATGGGAACAGGGCCAAGAGATGCTAAGGGCTGACCACAGGAAGAGGACCAAGCCTGATGCTAAGGGCTGACCATGGGAACAGGACCACGAGATGCTAAGGGCTGACCACAGGAACAGGACCAAGCCTGATGCTAAGGGTTGACCACAGGAACAGGGCCAAGAGATGCTAAGGGCTGACCACAGGAAGAGGACCAAGCCTGATGCTAAGGGCTGACCACAGGAACAGGGCCAAGAGATGCTAAGGACTGACCATGGGAACAGGGTCAAGAGATGCTAAGGGCTGACCAAAGGAACAGGGCCAAGAGATGCTAAGGGCTGACCAAAGGAACAGGGCCAAGAGATGCTAAGGGCTGACCACAGGAACAGGACCAAGCCTGATGCTAAGGGCTGACCACAGGAACAGGGCCAAGAGATGCTAAGGACTGACCATGGGAACAGGGTCAAGAGATGCTAAGGGCTGACCAAAGGAACAGGGCCAAGAGATGCTAAGGGCTGACCACAGGAACAGGACCAAGCCTGATGCTAAGGGCTGACCACAGGAACAGGACCAAGCCTGATGCTAACAGCTGACCACAGGAACAGGGCCAAGAGATGCTAAGGACTGACCATGGGAACAGGGTCAAGAGATGCTAAGGGCTGACCACAGGAACAGGGTCAAGAGATGCTAAGGGCTGACCACAGGAACAGGACCAAGCCAGATGCTAAGGGCTGACCATGGGAACAGGACCAAGAGATGCTAAGGGCTGACCACAGGAACAGGACCAAGAGATGCTAAGGGCTGACCACAGGAACAGGACCAAACCTGATGCTAAGGGCTGACCACAGGAACAGGACCAAGAGATGCTAAGGGCTGACCATGGGAACAGGACCACGAGATGCTAAGGGCTGACCACAGGAACAGGACCAAGAGATGCTAAGGGCTGACCACAGGAACAGGACCAAACCTGATGCTAAGGGCTGACCACAGGAAGAGGACCAAGAGATGCTAAGGGCTGACCATGGGAACAGGACCAAAAAGAGATGCTAAGGGCTGACCAAAGGAACAGGACCAAGAGATGCTAAGGGCTGACCACAGGAACAGGACCAAGAGATGCTAATGGCTGACCACAGGAACAGGACCAAGAGATGCTAAGGGCTGACCACAGGAACAGGACCAAACCTGATGCTAAGGGCTGACCACAGGAACAGGACCAAACCTGATGCTAAGGGCTGACCACAGGAACAGGACCAAGAGATGCTAAGGGCTGACCATGGGAACAGGACCACGAGATGCTAAGGGCTGACCACAGGAACAGGACCAAGAGATGCTAAGGGCTGACCACAGGAACAGGACCAAACCTGATGCTAAGGGCTGACCACAGGAACAGGACCAAGAGATGCTAAGGGCTGACCATGGGAACAGGACCAAGAGATGCTAAGGGCTGACCAAAGGAACAGGATCAAGAGATGCTAAGGGCTGACCACAGGAACAGGACCAAGAGATGCTAAGGGCTGACCACAGGAAGAGGACCAAGAGATGCTAAGGGCTGACCATGGGAACAGGACCAAGAGATGCTAAGGGCTGACCACAGGAAGAGGACCAAGAGATGCTAAGGGCTGACCACAGGAAGAGGACCAAGAGATGCTAAGGGCTGACCATGGGAACAGGACCAAGAGATGCTAAGGGCTGACCACAGGAACAAGACCAAGAGATGCTAAGGGCTGACCATGGGAACAGGACCAAGAGATGCTAAGGGCTGACCACAGGAAGAGGACCAAGAGATGCTAAGGGCTGACCACAGGAACAGGACCAAGAGATGCTAAGGGCTGACCACAGGAAGAGGACCAAGAGAGATGCTAAGGGCTGACCACAGGAACAGGACCAAGAGATGCTAAGGGCTGACCACAGGAAGAGGACCAAGAGATGCTAAGGGCTGACCACAGGAAGAGGACCAAGAGATGCTAAGGGCTGACCACAGGAAGAGGACCACGAGATGCTAAGGGCTGACCACAGGAACAGGACCAAGAGATGCTAAGGGCTGACCATGGGAACAGGACCAAGAAATGCTAAGGGCTGACCACAGGAAGAGGACCACGAGATGCTAAGGGCTGACCACAGGAAGAGGACCACGAGATGCTAAGGGCTGACCACAGGAACAGGACCAAGAGATGCTAAGGGCTGACCACAGGAAGAGGACCAAGAGATGCTAAGGGCTGACCACAGGAAGAGGACCAAGAGATGCTAAGGGCTGACCACAGGAAGAGGACCAAGAGATGCTAAGGGCTGACCACAGGAACAGGACCAAGAGATGCTAAGGGCTGACCACAGGAAGAGGACCACGAGATGCTAAGGGCTGACCATGGGAACAGGACCAAGAGATGCTAAGGGCTGACCACAGGAACAAGACCAAGAGATGCTAAGGGCTGACCACAGGGAAAGGACCACGAGATGCTGGGGCTGACCACAGGAAGAGGACCAAGAGATGCTAAGGGCTGACCACAGGAAGAGGACCACGAGATGCTAAGGGCTGACCACAGGAACAAGACCAAGAGATGCTAAGGGCTGACCACAGGAAGAGGACCACGAGATGCTAAGGGCTGACCACAGGAAGAGGACCAAGAGATGCTAAGGGCTGACCACAGGAAGAAGAGGACCACGAGATGCTAAGGGCTGACCACAGGAACAACAAACCAAGAGATGCTATATAAAAGGCTGACCACAGGAAGAGGACCACGAGATGGCTGACCACCAG